AGCGAGGCCGCGAAAACTGTAGCAATCAATAATAAAAGGTATCAGATTTTGGAATGTTCTTTTTTGGAAAATTGATCAAGTTATAATTTTGAAAAATAATGCATATCATTATTTGTGACTTGAATAATGCATATGATAGTGTGTAAGATCTGCTGTAGATATCATAGATATGTAAAACACACTTATTTGTCAATCAATTCAATGATTATAATAATAAGAATGATAAATTACGAAAAACGAATTAAAAAGTAATTTAAAAAAATGAACGAATAGCAACAATGCAAACAAAAAAATAGGGCGCTCGTAGAGAAAAATAATAGAATTCTGTTCGAAATGCCGAAACTAGAGAGGTCATTATTCTAGAAATCGATCACCCTGGAAAACAGCTATAGTCTACGAGAGATTTATCACTTTACGAATTTCGTATTAGTTGAATGAGGCTAGAGTGTATATGTGAGTTCCACATTTCAGCCCCAAAGGGGCTGCACTAACAAGCTTTTCTTTCTCATAATCAAGATAAAAATCAAAACTCATCAGTTTTAATGAAATTTTTCTGTTGGTCGTTCTCTAATTGACAATAAAGGCAGTGAGGTCGCTGTTAACATTTCATAATGCTTGATAATGTCAAGTTATGAACTTTTTCTGCATTCCAAACAGAGATGAGCACAGAATGACTTTTTTTGTCCTGTCCTGCCCTGCCGCACCATCAACCATGGTCCTGTTGAGCGGTAGGACAGAACATGACAGACAAGTTCGTCCTGTCCTGTTTAGCAGGACAGAACAGGACAAAACAAGACTTAATGCAGGTTAAGCGCTGTATTTGTTCAATTTTTGATCAAGTCAAGTATTCTTATCCTTGTAATGATCTTAACAATTTATTTCAAAATCTTTTCAAGCGTTACTGTTTCATTTGTGAATAAACATAATTCAGTTAAACAAAAATAAAAAACATTATAAGTTACCATTTTTAACGGGTGAGGCAGAATAAATGACGGTCTCAGTATTTTTTCAATATCTCGCTCAGCTTTGACCACGGAGAGCTGATAGTAGAGTTAAAGGATACCCTATTGAAATCTCTACAAGGCCTGTATCAAGCATTTTTCTCTACAAAGCTAAGCAGAAATATGAAAACAAGAATACACAACACACTATAAATGACCAACTTTCAAAACCATTTTTTTGAATAACATTGGAAATTGTTTTTAGAATTTCAAAAACAATGCAGCGGTAATTAAGATATTTTTGAGTACTTTGAAGTGCGCTCTTTCTCGCTGTATAACTCAAAGTTCGGTATAATGAAGTTGAAGTTTGAAAATGCTGACTTTCAAAACCCTATTAAAAATGATCCAAATGTGATATTTTTCGTCAGCTGAATTTAAGAAGAAAACTTTAGCTCAACTTTTGCCTCTGAATCCGGTACAGCAGTCATTGTGCCGATATTGATGGCACGCTTCGATGATTCTCCTTCCTCCTCCTTCTGTTCTCTTTCCATTGTTCTAATATATCTCTCCTGTCTCTCTCCTATCTCTCTCCTATATATACGTGTGCTATGTATGAAGTTGCTCCACTCTGGATATGTTAAGAAGCGAATAAACATCATTGCCAAGAGTGGCGGTAAGCTACTCCACCTCTATTCAGTTTGTCATTACGTATCAACCCAGTCAGCGCCTTATTGATTGTTACAGCCATTTTCCATCAAAATAAAGAAAACCCGAGCCAAAACAATACGATTTTGGCTTAGTTATGCCTCTTTTTCTAGGAGCTCCGAAATCATAGATTGCAACAGTTAATTTCTCGAAAATCTGAAAAAGAAGATTATTGGCGTACGTCACAAGGATGAATATGAATATTTTCAAATTAAGATCAATCGATAGAGATATTCAAAGGCTACAAAATTTCTATATTATTTTATATTTGTCATCATTAGCCGACGAAAAAAACCTAACAAACAATTTTTCAGTTTACAAAGTTGGTTGTTTAGAGTGTGTTGTGCATTCTTATTTTCATATTTCTGCTTAGCTTTGTAGAAAAAATGTTTGATACACTCCTTGTAGAGAATTCTACAGAACATCTTGTAACTCTACCATCAGCTCTCCATGATCAAAGCTGAGCGAGATATTCAAGAAATACTGAGACCGCCATTTATTCTGCCTCACTCGTTGTCAACTTCGACAGATATTACATACACTTCTGCCGTTTCATCATCTTTGCCTGTCCTGTCCTGCCGCACCATCAAGAGTGTGGGTGTGGGTGGGTGCGCTTGTATCTGCAATTGAAACAATACCCACACCCACACCCATCTGTTCGCTTTAAGCTTCACCTTTCTAATTCCTTTAGTTCTGACAAGATTTTGATTGGTGTTGTTTACCAACCTAATAAAAAACAATGGTCTCATATTGCGTCATCAGATGATACTTGGCTTCTGAACGTCAGTAATGGTTTCATACAACATTCTAATTTTAATCCTCGCCAGTACACTTGGCCAGTAAGACCACTTTCTGTGCTATCAGAAGACAATGCCAATCGAACTTCGCATGTGGACGTATTATTTGATACACACTCTCGTTGTTTAGCATTTCGTATTGATGATCAAATCGAAGATCAATGGGCTTTTTATTTACCTAAAAATATACGAATCGACCAGCTATATCCTATTGTCATTCTTAACAGCTCAACAATTTCAATTTCAATTGATGTTTAAACAATAAATGATTAAAAAAAACAATAATTTTCCCACAACATTTTAATAACATTCGATTGTAATAACAAAGTTCACAAGAATTAAATAAAAATTCTAAACGTTGATCATTTAGTTTTATTAAATGAATGAGTTTCCTACGATACAAAAGAAGAGTGTATGAGTGAGAAATAACATAAAACTGATATACCTATAGACCCTTTCAACTCGACCAAAAGCATCTAAAATACACTCTCTCCAATAAAGACATAGTATTCATTATCTCTGACCTACGAATATGATGATATCGATGCATTATTCTATTCTTTTCTTTGACTTAATATTTTTTTATCATTGGCATAGATTATTCAAGATTTTTTTTTGAACATTTCTTCTTTCATTTTTTTTCCATCATACAGAATGTTCCAGTAAATAGGTTTATTTCTTTTAAATGTTAAATATAACATCACTTTTTTGTAATGTCGAAAATTTTCTTATACATTACTACGCATAAGATCTTTTTGTCACGATCGTGATTATGATCATAAGTATGAATGATACAGAGTATATTAGTTCATTATCGAATAAAAACAAAGATAATAATAACAACTATCAGCTCATATGTGTGTTTGAAATGATTTAATAAATATAATTTATTTATTGTTTAAATCATATTGATGATAAGTATTCAAAAGAACACCCTTATGAATATATACTAAGTAATGACCATTAGCGGGATCTTGTTGAATGAAAAGTGAATTTATATTAAACAAGCTATTGGAAAACAGAAGAATAGAATTCATAATATTATTAAGAAACAGGTACTGAATAAGAACTTTATAATTGCCATTCGAACGATGAGTCTTTATAGAGTAACATTGAAATAATCAGTGGCCACTGGCGAGCGAAATTTCTTAACACAAACACTAGTATTCAACTGAGTCTCCTTTGAAATTTCCTGTCTGAACAACAAAGAAGACTATGATAACAAGAATGTTGAGGACATCTTAACATTTTGACCAATGTTACATGTATCTACAACAATACTTTTCATATCTCCAAACCATGTATCATGCCCTACAGTAAAAAATTGGGCTTTATACATTTCAATAATTTACTGAGATGATCGATATCTTGTACAAAAAGAAAAGAAAAAATTAATACTGATGGTTTTGATTCATTTCTTTTGATTTTTTGTTTTTGATTAAAATAATTTTTCTTTGTATTTAAAACTGATAAAAAATAAAACAGCAATTGTTTTCTTCTTGATTAAAATACAACTTCATTACTATATTAAGGAAATGATTTTATTCAATAAAATTCTAATAAATTGGTATAGATAAAATCATAGTGATTATGTAAACATTCTTTTTGTTTTTCAATTAGTTTTATAATTTTAAGATATTGTGTCTAAGTGTATATCTGTTATTTTCATGTGCTAACTAACTTATCATATTTGTGTCTACATTTTAGGTTAGATATTGATAATGGATATTTGAAATCTCGATTACATACCAACGTTATTTTTCTCGATCCTATTTCTTTTTTATCGTTCTCTTTTCACAGCATGATATATGCCGTCGATTCTATCGGGATATTTTTGCTTGTGTTAGATATTTTCATATCATTCTCTTCTTCTGTTGGTTGTAATGGTTCAAAGTACGTTAAACATCAGTTTTAATTCTAAAAATTATTATGAAATCGTTATATTTTTCGGATAAAATCTAATAAAGAATAGAATTATTGATATTTAGGTAATGGTCATACAAATGGTATTGTAGCAAATGAGAAAACGAAAAATAGTCTATCAATATCAGATAATTGTGAAAATAGAACTAAAATTTCATCAAATAGTAATATACGTTTATATCTATCATTAACAATTAGTTCACCTGGAATTATATTTGGTGATATTGGTACAAGTCCATTATATGTTATTCGTACAATATTTGCTGAAAATCTTCATCCAACACGAGAACAATGTACTGGTGCTGTATCATTAATTATATGGAATTTAATTGTAGTTGTATCAATAAAATATGGTATTTTTATATTAATGGCTGATAATCGTGGTGAAGGTGGAACATTTGCTCTATGTGGTCTATTAACAGGTGAACATAGTCAATTACGTACTCGTGCTAAACATATTATTAGTATAGTATCAATATTTGCTGCTTCACTTTTAATTGGTAATCATAATATATATGTTTTGTTTTTCTCCTCATATTTTAAATATATATTTCAATTATTTTAAGGTGATGGTGCACTTACACCAGCTATTAGTGTTTTATCAGCTGTTGAAGGTTTAGCAACAACTTCTGAAGCATTAACAAAATGGATTTTACCAGTAACAGTTTTAATAATTATGACTCTTTTCTTTGTACAAATGTTTGGTTCATCAAAAATTGGTAAAGAATATTTTTCTTTTTTGTAAAAAAACAAAATATTTCTTAATAAATAGGTTTAACATTTGCACCAATTATGATCATTTAGTTTCTTGTTCTATTTTCAATTGGTATATGGCGTATTACATTTGATCCAGCTATACTACTCTTCTATTGAACACTCTGTGAGGGTCCTATTGAAAATGGTTTTATTGCATGGCTCTAACATTAATTCGATCTGTTCCAATGCTTTTTAGATGCAAGTCGCTTTTTATTTATATACCATTCGATAGAGCAAAGAAACAATAGAAGAAAAAAGTATCTAATGAGTCAAAAAAACATAAAGTTGAGAAAATGGACAAGAAACGTATATGTTCAGCATATGAATATCTAATATGTGAGAATAAATTGATTAATTTTGAACAATCGAAATGTTAAAGGTACATAAAGACGAATTACTTCTGATGACATTATCTTGTTTAATAATTCATCTGGATTAATTGATGGATTTCGATATAATTCAAATAATATGAGGCCAGCGAAAAATTGATGAAGACCAATTGAATAATAAAATGATAAATAATAAATTTGTCTTTCTAATTGATATAATTTATGCATCAATTTTTTCATTGATTTGTTATATTTATCATTTCGATCATTAATATCAGATAGAGCATCACTTGTAAAATATATTTTTGATGTTATTGCTTCAAAAACAACAATTAGATTTTTATCATTATCACTAAGATTATTTTCAAATGTTGCATAAGACGATCGATTATTATATCGAATAAGATTTGTTAATTTAACTGGAGATTTAATTATTTTCATTTGCTTCGATCTATTTGTTTTTTCTAATTTACCAAAACCAAGTAAATTATATTCAATTGATTTAGGTCTAAGTGAAATGTATAACCAATCTTTAATTGAATTCCATCGATGAGAATAATCATTTTTCATGAATGATGCAACATAACGAAAAAATAAATGCATTTCTTCTGATTCCAGTGATGATAAAATTCGTGTATCTAATTGTCGAATATCAATTAAATATGATTCATTCAATAATTTAATAAGTGTTGTCATTGATTGTCTTTCATATAATAATGATACACTTTGTTCAACAGCAGTTAATCTCATATTTAAAGTTTCTAACTGAAAAATTCAAATTAAAATAGAAATAAAAATTAAAAAATTGCCTTACTTTATCCAAAATGGATCTTTGATAATTCAGCATGGTTCGTTCATAATAACTCAGTTTTTTTTCTTCATTTTCATCAATAAGAACGTGATGAAAATTTTCTTTTAAATCATTTAATTTTTGTTGTATTTCATCATCATCATCTAATTCATCTTTGATAAAATTATCAGGAGATAAACTCTTAAGATTCTCCAATGATATTTGACAAATTTGATTGTCATTCAAGTTGACAATAGAATTTATTTGATTTGTTGATGATTCTGTAAACATTTGATCAAATGGTTCAACTGGTTGTTTATCCATAGCTGAAGATGAAGATGTGGTTTGATTTTTTCGATTTGATGTATTTGTTTCAATAAACATGGTTTCTAGTAAATAGGCTTTTCTTGAAATAGAAGATTCAATTTTTGATGATTCATATATTGATAAAACAACCCGACCAAATGTTTCATCACTATTTTCTAAAATGTGCAGATCATAATGACCATATCGACCTTGATTATCTTGGTCGAAAAAAACTGTTCTATCATCTGTCAAAATGACAACATTAAAACCACTATTGGTCATTACTCGACGTAAAGCAACTAAATTTAAATTTGTAAGTGATGTTACCCGCGAAAAAAAATTTGTTGAAAAAACGCGGTCGACCGCGGTTGTCTTTACCGCGACCGACCGCGTTTTTTCAACAAAACGTTTTTTATGGTTCTACTTATTTATCTATCTACTTATGCATTGATCTATCTATCTATCTATTTATCTATCTATCTACCTATCTATCTATCTACCTAGCTATCGATCTATCTAGCTAACTATTCAACTACCTATTTATCCATCTAAGTACCTATAGATCTATCTATCTAACTAACTACCTATCTACCTCTCTATCTATCTAACTAACTACCTATCTACCTCTCTATCTATCTAACTATCTATCTATGTAGCCACCTCTCTATTTATCTAACTGTCTATCTATTCAGTCATCTATCTAACTACCTAACCATATAACTATCTAACTACCTATCCATCTATTTATCTAGCCACCCATCTAACTACTTATCTATCTAACGCTCTAACCCATATATTTAACTATCTTTTTAACTATCTATCCAGATATGCAAATATATAGTGATTCGTCGGAAAATATGAACTTCCACGTACTCAAATTCATCTCCTGATAACATTTCTAAATACTATTCTGTTGTTTTTTTCTATTTATTAATTTGAAATTGATTTACAATTTGGTTCAATTGTTTCTGAGAAAAATTGAAAGCCCTGCTATAGATGGCGCCACTTTTTCTTCTTTCGTTTTTTTCAGAAACGACTGAGCTAAGCCAAAAATGAATTACAGACTATTAAATAGAACAATAGAGGAATTTACTAGTGCGGATGTGTGTGTTCTGAATCAACACCCGCACTCACACTCACTCCCTATAACAGTCTTTCATCTAGTCGAATAAAAATCGGCACATATAATAAGAAGCACAAAGACTTCCTTATTATGTCGATTAATAAAAAGACAGCGTAACTGATAAAAGAAACAACCTGTTTCGTCTAAATCGATCTTATTCAATCAGTTCGATTTATTCATTTAAAGACCATTTGATAAATGCAGTTAAAGTTACCCTGCATTAATTCTTGTTTTTTTTTGTCAACAATATCAAAAAAAAATATATGTGTAGTGCATAAGTGTCTATGTCAATTTTTTTCTCGTGATCATTTCTCGCTCGTATAATCTTACATAGACTTTTCGATACGGCGGTCACAATGATATTTACTGAGGTTTATGAAACCGCGACTAAACGCGATATTTTATGCCGCCATCATAAACATGCACATCGCGGTGTATGAAAACGGGACTAATCGCAATATATTATACCGCGGTGGTAGACATGTTCACCGCAGTTTATAAAAACGCGATATTTTTTTGCCGCAGTCATAATCATGTTCACCGCGGTTTATGAAACCGCGACTAAACGCGATGTATTATACCGCGGCCATAAACATGTTCACCGCGGTGTATGAGAACGCGGCTAACCGCAATATATTATACTGCGGTCATAAACATGTTCACCGCGGTGTATGAAAACGCGACTAACCGAGATATACTATACCGCGGTTATGATCATATTCACCGCGGTTCATGAAAACGCGACTAACCGCGATATATTATACTGCGGTCACAATTATATACACCGTGATTTACTTTGAACGCGGTGATAAAAAAACGCGGTTAACCGCGGTCTTTTCAGTGACACCGCGGTGTCATGTTAGAGAACCGCGGTGAGTTCAAAAACACCGCGGTTGACCGCGGTTTTACTCCAAAAATTTTTCCGTGGGTACTCGTCCATTTTTTTCTGCTAATACTTGACGAAAAAGAACCATTGAAGTATCTGTATGAATAATCTATATAAAAATCGAGAAGAAAATTTCAATATTTATAAATATACTTCATTAACAATATTGCATGTTACAGATATTTTTTATTTACGTTATGTTCTTAAAGCATTCGGGTCAATTAATAAACATAAATTGCTTGTGGGCACCGTTTAAGAGAATCCAACGGTTTAACCCTTTCGATCCCGTATGTCATCCCGTAGATGCCATGCATATCGAAATATAGAAATTTTGCGTTCTGTCGTCTTCCTACATGATACATATCATATGTATGTTCAAAGAAACGCGTGTATCCTTCTCTGTGAAAATATTTTTCTCGCACTGAACTAGCGTAGCTAGAATTCGTATACAGCTGATTATCCAGATGAGAACGCAAGAGAGAGAGAAATGTAGATTTTCTTCAACGTTGTGTAGAATGAGAGAAAATGACGGGATTGAAAGGGTTAAGGGAAAGCATGGAAACCATGATAGAGGCACAAGAAATTTATTAATGGGAGAAAATGATTGACTATTTGGTATAAGAATGCAAATAAGTGTGTATAACATTAGTCATTCACGTCACTTATTTATTAAAAAAATGATTCAACTTAGTATTTATGCGGTTGGATTATTTTTGCGCAGTAGAAATATTATTGAATTTTATTCAGTTAATCATGATTACTGTCTATTTCTATAATTGCTGGGCATTCTATATAAAACTAAATTTATTCTCCAAGGAAAAACATCTAAGCAAATGAGTTATTATTATTCATTCATATAATTATTACTTCGTCTAAAAAGATTTTGAAGGTATGAAAGCTTAACGAGACAGTGATCAAAAATTTGTCTTTGCTCATCTGATTTTACTATAATATGGATATTTACATCAGTTGAATGAACTGTTTCACTGGTAAATGATACAAGACTATACAGGTAAATACAGCGATGTAAATGATACCTATTGGCCAACAGTCTTCCATATGTTTCCGTCTCAATAATCTCAACAGATTTTCTATCCACATGACGGTGCATCAAGCAATATTTTATCAGAACGCAAGAATGCCGGAAGAAAAAAAGTGTTTTCCACAAATTGCTTGGTGAGCAAGTAGTTCAAGTTACAATAATGTCGAAAACATTTCGTCTATTATCGACAATAACCTACTAAAGGTTAGCGTCCATAACAAAAAACAATTGAAAAATACATCGCAAAGAGTATCGATAGAAATTTAGAATGATACCATTAAAAGAAGTTTTGAATCAACACTGAGACGACTTCGACTAATAATCAACTGGGAAGGTGGTGCTTGTCGTTCATAGTTATTTAGATTTTTAAATAAAAATGTGTATTTCACATAAATAAGCAAAGAAAAGAAATTAAAAAAAAAATATCTAAAAGACTACAGTAGAGAATATTGTGAAAAAATTGTTTTTTTGTTATGAAGTTTTTCCTTGTACATAGACAACCACGTTTAAGAACAATCATATGTATATGTTCTTCATAAAATCATGAATTCAATTAATATGTAGATGCAGCAACTATATCTCTTTTCAAAATATATCATAAGTTGTTTTCTCTATGGTGCAAGACAGCGGCCTATCATGTCGTCATACCCAGTATTTTAGTTTATTAATTTTTTCTTTTTTTTTTCTTCAGTGTAGAGCGTTTAAAATTCACTTTTTTCTCAGACAAACGGTGACTTGTTGAAAAGAAATGACGCACATCATCTCATACAATCTTGAAACGAAAGAGATTTCGTTTTTGTTTGTGTTTTGTTGTACCTTAGAGATTCCTAAGCATTGTATTATTGGTCAGAATGAGAGAGAAAAAAATTCTATTCATCTCTTCCTCAGTGACCGGATACTTAGTACAATACTTAATACTTTTGTACTATTTCACTTGAAAATCTCAAGTACGAAGTACATTATTGCAATACAAGTACATTTACTTGTAGTAGACAAGTGTACTGAAGTACCGATGACAAATACAAATGCACTTTAGTACTTGTACTAAGTACAAGTGAAGCTGAATTTGATTGCCAAATGTGATTCTTGCTTTTCCAGTCCTGATCATTAATGTAGATTTTAATTCATGAAATTTTTTTGTGCAATTTAATTTCTCTTCGGACTTGCGCGCTGCTTCTACGATACTTTGCTTCGTTTCGTCATCATTTAATAAAGTCTCATGTATAATATAGATTAAAATATTATACATAAGAAGAGGAGAAAAAAATTACAATTAAGACATAAACATTGAATTGAGTAAGAGAATATCACTAATTGACTGGCATAATAACTTTTTCTGATAGAAAAAAATTAAATGAGTTAAAATAAAGTTTTAAAAAAATCACTAGTAATACAGGTAACCAAAAGAAGCTGGTTTAAGCAATAAGAAAAAAATCAACTAATTTATAATAAACTTTGATTAACTTTTAAGAATACTAAGTCTTTAAACAATTGTTCACTCATATTTGTTCTTCGCGATGACAAAATCAGACCAGCTGGAGAAAACACTCGTTCAATTGGTGCAGATGAAGCTTGAACAGAAAAAATGCGCATAACTAATTTTTTCAGGAGACTCATTCGAGAATGAAACCAATATTCGGAGAATTTGTATCTTACAGGATCATTTAAATAAGCTTCTAATTCAGTAGCAGGATTCAATTCTGTTGTATGATTTGGATCATCATTATTATCACTATAATTAAACAACTTTCTTCTTTTGGTTCTGGGTGTCGAATGTAAAGGCAACGTTGTTGTTGATGATGAACTATTTTGATCTGAGAATTGTGTGGATGTTGAGAAATCTTTGCTAATTTCATCAAGAATGAGTTGAATTATATTTTGTTTCAATCGGTTTTCAACATTAACAGTAAATTTCAAGTCACGAATCCAATAAAATTTGAATGAAGGATCTAGTACAGCTGCCATAAAATATAAGGAATCATTAAAAGGATCATTTTCTTGAACATTGACTTGATTTAATCGATTAATAATACCAATAAAACGTTTTTCAATTGACAATTGAAGTTGTTCAACAAGTTTACTACAATATGACAGATTTTCTTTAACATCACGTAAATGAGTTATTAAATGTACAATTGCCGGCACGACCAAGCTTACAGTAACAATCGTTTCTGCTTCACACTTAATAGAGATTTCGGAAAAAGGTTCTAGGACATCAATAATTTCTTCTAGAATTACAAAATCATTGCTCGAGAATTTTATTGGACTATCCATTATTTTAGTGATCGATTCCAAATCTTTTTTTCCAATTGATAAAATAGATTTTATAAGCATATATTCACTATTCCATCTTGTAATATTCATTTTGTTGATTTTTTTATTCAGGTCATCAAGTAAATCAGCCATTTTGCTAGATTTATTCGAAATTTTTGCTAGTGTTTGGCATTTCTCAAGCAGTCGTGATATGCAAGGTATATTTTTTAGACCATCATGTACACATAGTTGTATGGTATGTGCAAAACAAGACAATCGTACTGATGATAAATCTTCCGAACTATCATGCTCACCAAGGTGTATGTTTATCATTTGAAAATTGTTTATATCAACATCTTCTATAATAGATGAACGGAACAATTAATAGATTATGAAATAATATTTCAACGACGACATCGTACTGTTTTGAATATTCATCCTTTTAGACATGCATAATTATATTCTATTTCCAAAAGTAAGCTCAAAGAAAAAAATATATTGATCATAGTTATCAATAATTATAGATTGAGTTTCTAGAACCAGGATTTCATCTTTTAGATAGAAATACCTTCAGCAAATTTCTTTATTTTCTATGGGTTTTGTAAAAATAAAAAAATGTAAGTATGAAACACTACTTACGATCAAAATCATCAAAAATTGCACTGATATCGGAAATCGATTTCATTTGATCAGATCTTATACCATTTTCTTCATTATAATATAAACCGAATTTATATGCTTTAATCATTGATGAAGCATTATCAGTAATTATTTTAAAAACTTTTTGTTTAATATTAAATCGTTCAAGAACTTCTTCCGTTAACTGTTGGATATTTTCACTGGTATGGGGAGATTTGAAACGTAAAAAATCAATTAAATAAGCTTGTGGCATCATCTTATTATCAATGAAGTGACACGTAATACCTAAAAAAGATCGACAACGTCGATCGGACCATGCATCAACAGTTAATGTTACATGGTTAATACTATTTAAAGTTTCATGAATTGTTTTGAGAACTTTATTCGTAAAGGAAGGTATAATATCATTTTTTAATTTTTTTGCTGATATAGGTTCACACTTAAAGTTGCATTCTTTCATAAAATCACGAAATGCATTATTTTCGACAAAATTTAACGGCAAATTACATCGAATAATTAAATTTTTAGTAATAGAAAAAATAATTCGACTTTGTTTATATTTTTTACTTGTTAAATCATCAGTTATTTGATCATCACCAAAAACATTTTGTTCTTCCGTTAAACATTCATATTCACGAGCGAAAACCTGATCATATTCAACTGGATGTACTCGTTTTAAATGTTTTGAAAAATTACTATATATTCCATTTTGATCTTTATAATTTCGGTTGCATAATCTACATAATCCATTGATTCGATTTTTATCGAAAGGAGAAAAGTCAAAATATCTCCTCCAATTTTCACGAGACATCTTATAAATGTAAAGCACTAAGTGAAAATGAACGTTCATATAATAGATAAATATTCAATAAAATAAATACCACTTGTTGTGACCTAATCCATAAATGAGTGAAACTATATAAGTTTTATTATATACCGATCAGTTTTTCGAGGGTCTCTTTCTTCCGAACATATTCAAGTACTCATTTGTAATTGTAACGATCCAACAAAAAAAGTAAATAATTCATTTTAACAGCAATAAACATTAGAGTTTAATCATATTATTTGTAACTCATATTTATTTTATTAAGGATGTCAGTGAAGTACAAAAATAGAATGCATATAAATCGAATTACTAGTCATTGTGCTACATTTACAGAGATACTTGAATATGAATCTTCGTTACATAAATAACTATTATTAGTACTTAAGTACATATAGGTACTCAAGTACTGATATTTAACATGCATGTACTTAAGTAAACAGCATGTAAATAAGAGTACACAGTACATTTTTTAAGTAGCAAGTATTTGTACTTGTACTCGCTTTACTTGTACTTGTCCACTCATTGTTTTCTTGACTATGGAATTGAAGAAAATGGTGCATCAAAAACATGATCAGCATAGAACACATCTGGCTACCTCTTATTCGCACATGCTTCTCGACAAAATAAAAAAAAAAACATGCATCCAACAATGATTTTTCATCTAGTAACGTCTGTCATCGATGCAGCTCAGTCGCAATCATGAACATAGACTCACACGTTCGGCTAATTGTGCCCCACGTCATCTTGCTACTGTTTGAGTGGGCACGTACTTGTGAAAAGTACTTCGATGAATACCTATTCAGTCACCTCCAATGTGACTGGCATATGTTGTGGTGCTATCACATTCTGAGGCACTGCGCAGACGAGCGCCTATTTCGGGTGGTTGATGGTAGCCGACGACAATGATATGCTCAAGTTTAGCTCAGCAGCTACCCGAACATATTTTTCGAGTTTAATTAGGACTTATCAATAAGTCCCTAAGCATATTACGATTGACCCCATATGGTTCCTTAGTAAATATATCATGTAGATGAGGAGATGTGTGTGGGTGTGAGTGCAAGTGTAGATGTATTGATGTTAGTGGCGGTGGGAATGTACTGAAAGATCATCATAATCAATAAATCCTGAATAAATAAATAAATGCCAAAAAGAAACCCACAAAAGTAAGTCTCGTTAGTTCCTCTCACTGACGAAAGAAATTTCCGCGAAACAAGGACCCAAAATGGGCAACTAAATCGATTCTCCAAAAGGCAATCGGTGAAAGAGAAAAAAGTTAATTCGCCTGAACAAATCTGTTTCCGGCGAGGAAGTGTCAAGGAATAATCTTCCACATTAAGAAACCATCGCCTTTTCGATCCCGCTGAGAGAAAAGGCCTCATATCGCGGGACTCTTGTAATCATCACCGAACCGGCACAGACAGAGATGTCCTATTAGTCACTTCCTTCCATGCAGCTTTGCATCCTATTTTCTTCCTTATACAATTGTCAGGTCTTCGTGTTGTACTTTTCACTAACGGTGGAAGTCATATTCTATGGTTGAACGTTCACATCTATTCCTAATTACATTTCTCTACTACTGTTCCCCACTGTTTTTAGAGGAAAATCCATACTGCATTATAATTATATTTCAGATAAATTTTAAGTTTTTGGCATTTTTGGCCGTCAAGACATGAAAGTGCTGTTTTGATTTTTTATTTACTTTCGAAGTGAATTTAGGCTGTCAAAGCTTCATTTATATTCGAACTCGAATTAGGCAACTCATGGAAATTGTCATCATAACTATGGAATTTTGCGGTGGACAACTCGTAGTTAGCGTGAGTGTGTTGCAATGAACATAGTGGTTATAGATTTCTAACCTACTAAAAATGCTGCGTTGCAATTGCCTGCAACTTCAGTAAAATTTTCCCGAGTATGTGTATCTAGACAGAGTTACTATAAAAACATAATCACATAACCAGGGCTTGTATTCGTAATTTATTCACAGTTAATAATTATAACATAATAATAATAACGGATGACGCATAAAAAATTATACTCTTAGTATTCTTGGGAATTTCTCATCTATCATCTCTTTCATTAAAACACTATTTTATGAAAAGATAGTATCTGAAATTCAATACAAAATGGTATAATTTACTTAACGCATATAGTCTATTCTATTTTTTTTTTATTTAGTGTAAGTCTATAGTCAAAATCGGTACACAATTTAAATTTTTTTTTCTGATGGAAGGTTTTATATCGCCCATCAATATTGTCTTTGTTGTCAGGTGGTCCCAATAGATAGCTTCATTTGGTTTGATTCATCAAATCGTTATAATGCTGATAATGATCAAGTGTGGCCTGAACAGAGTAGAGGTGGGCTAGAACAGTACCATCGATAAAGAGACGAAATTTCTGGTAAAAGTAGGGTGCAGTTAGATGTGTGCGGCCAAGGAATGGCCGTGTCAACGATTCTGAAAGATCAAGCAATCAACGTAGAAAGATACATCAATGAAATTTTTCGAGTAGCTCTACAATTCAACCAGAAAATGTTAAGAAACAAGTGGACATATTAACAAGATGGTGAAAAGCCTCCCAAACATCACATGAGCAAAAAATGATGTGCTGATCATTTTCCTACTTCATTCCAAAGTATTGCTGACTAAAAAATTCACTTGATTTATTTTCATTAGATTATAGTTTATGCGATGAATTGACTAAAGCTGTGAATTCGGACTGCATAACAACAACGGGCAATATTGAAGGATGAAAACAAAAGAATCTGTTAAAAAAATTGAAGAATAAAATTTTGAATTCTATACCTAATTACTTTTGCCTACACAATTATATTTGATGAAAAATAAAATGGTGAAAACTATATTCTTTAAGTAAAATATACCATTTTGTATTGAATTTCAACTGCTATCTTTTCGTGAGGAAAGTGTTCTAATGAATGAGACAAAAGAGAAGAAATTTCGAAAATACTGACAGTATAATTCTTGATGCACCACTCGTTATATTTGGTAAGACAGCAACCTTGAGTTAGGGTTGGAGCTCTTGCCATTTCCTTCTTCTTGTTATTCTAATCGAACATGTCTTTATTCTACTGAGGATCACTATCTGTACTGCCATTTTATAATCTGTTGTATGTGTTCATTAATCTTACAACAATACCTCTCAACTAAAACAATAACACAACTAACTGTTCCCTCATTGATTCAACCTACTGCTGCTGTTGCATCGTAATTCTATTTTGAAATGAGTTTCATTCTGTTATTTCCTTATAGTCTCTATCTGAAGACTGAAAGTGACTTGAAAGTTTCTTTCACTTTCATTCCACTCATCGTTGATTGCTCATGCCTGCTTTTTGTTGGAAGGACGTTGACTGCTGTGAGACAAGTTGCTAATGGGAACCGCACATTACATGTTGTTTTCATTACTTCCACTGTCTGTATGAATTTCAAAGAAATGGAAAGAAAGAAAAAGAGGCTTTCAGAACTTCACAAGAGAAAAAAAAACACGATAAAGTAGTTGACGCTGACTATCTTGCCGCTCTACTGTTATTATACGAAACAGTATATTTTTTTCAAATCAATCTCAACATACTCTTTATTTGTGAATACTTGGAAAACTAATGAACCTATTCTGTTGTCATATGTCACAAAACACAGACACAAACAGACTTTTGTTTGTTCTTTCTGAACAATACAGCACAGGGATTGCGTAAAGAGAGTATCATTTTATGTGTGCAACTCGCGACATATGCAAATGCACCTTTTTATACATAACAATTTAGATGGAACTCATTTATTTCGGCTTTAGACATTGCGCTCAAACAGAACCACCAGCCATCGAACAGAAACGAGCTCGAACTAAATTTCTCAAAGGTAGTCGAACATAATCAAATCTGAGACAAAAAAAAGAGTGTAGGTTTACTATACTTGACCACGTAAAAACATGATGTCACCAATAGAGATGTACGAAACCCAAAATAGTAAGAAAATTACCAATGTCAGTACCAAAATACAATACTGAAACTGCAACTGAGTCTCCCGCCGGAACCATGTGAAAAAAATTGTTAGGGCCCCAAATTATCCTTCAAATCATTAGCGATTGATAATAATAATTTAACATAATCGAAACACGGCTTCCTAGATTTACAATTATTCACAGCACATAAAATAACATCGATATCCCTTCGCCCATCCTTGATCCCTTATTTTCTATCTATATATTGAATTATATTAGACAGGAATTATTCCGAATTGAGTCTTAACTTCTCAGTTTATTTGAGTGAGTTTTGACTTGTTATGTAACTATAAGTTCTAAACATGCCTGATGAAGATCAGATTAAGCCCTGATCGAAACGCGTCGTGTGATGCTTTGAACTTCAACTCTTATATTTAAACAATTATTGGAGAGTTGGGAATTTATATGTAATTATAGATTGTAAACATACCTAATGATAGACCCTTAAACAAGGTTGAAACGCGTCGTGTGATGCTCTCAATCTCAAAATTCCTTTATAATAAAATAACTTTCGAATGATGGTGTATTGTGATTATTATCAGCTTGAAAGTTTTACTCAAAAACTTTTAACTATAATATTTCATAGTAGGAGAGGTAATACATATTTTCCATCAATAAACTTAAGCAATTGATAAGTGATTACTTTAGCGGTAATCGAAACCGGTCTTGTTAGCTTTTGATTATATTATTTTACTAATATATAATCTTACTCTAGGCATCTGCGTTCGCCTTATATTTTAGTCACGATCATGCTTGACTATGACGGTGACCATATTCCAAATGTCTACTATCCATACTCATATTTCAGTAAATTTGATTTTTTATGTAACCCATTGACGACGTATCAGATAATTTCTCCCTCATTGTAGTATGATTTTGGGAGCACGATACATACATCGAAACTATACGATTTTAGTTCTCAAACTATAACGTAATTATCTGATAAAATTCGGTTAGATTGTTGTATGCAATAGTATATAAAAAATAAAAATAAAAAGCCAGCATTTAGAATTTTATAGTCGTTTTATTTGCTCTGTCAAAATGCATTGTTATAGTCAATGAATTTTATTCAAGATAATGATGAAGATTAAATAAAAAGCACGAAAAACAAAATCTTTGAATATTTCAAAAGATGAAAACACAAAAAACTGGTTAAAAATACTTTTAATACAAATAAAATGAGTCAAAATAAAGATAAGATTAATAAAATAAGTTGACTCAAACAATGTTAAATAAAAAACAAAGCAAAAAGTTGGCATATTATTTTCAATAAACTCACAGCAATTTGACACGGTACAAGAATGCAAAAAAAGAGCAACGAAAGTGTATATATGCATGGATCGTGAGTTTATATCTTTTCGAAATGGATATACAATAAATTGAAAAGATTTCATGCAAAAAAGGGGGAGAGGGAACTAGATTTATTGATATTTTGCTACATTCCGTTTCCACTCTGTTTACAATAAAAGCTTACACTATTATCAAAAGAATACACATTGACTGAAAAAATCTATAGTAAATTGATCCAGAATAAAGATTCGAAATCTTTCGGAAAAAGTAATATATGAATGTTTTTATCGATTATCTTTAGGATATAAACATTTTCTTCACATATTTCGCTTTATATAGTTCTACTGCAGCATCTCCTTGATCTCCAGCTGACTTTCTAAGAACTTCTTCTGTAACAAAGTTAGTCAATGATTCAGCACCTGTGGTGGAAGAAATATCCAGCCATTCACATCGTCCTTTTGTTTCTTTTGCAATTTTTTGAAAATTATCTTTTGCGTAATCAGTGAGATAAAATGCATGAATAGGAATATTTTTTGTTTTCAACTTTTCTAATTCATCTTCATAATATGTTGGTGTAGCAAATCTACTCTGCTTCCAATAGGCTTCACCGAATTGTGCTCGGTTCTTAGCTACATTAGTTTTAGTATTCGCTGGAGCATCTCCTATCAAAATAACTTGCGAAATTTCGTCTTGCCTTTCACTTTCTTTGACTGCATGCCATAATCCTATTTCAATCGCTTCATGTCCCTTTCCACCTTCAGGACCAATTCTGTTTATAAATGTTCTTAAATTACTAGCCTTTGTCTCCCAAGGAGAAACTTCCAAAATCTTATTATCTCTACAATTATAGTTTCGATAAACAGCAAATTGCATTGAGAATGCATCTTTTGATATTCCTTTTTCCTCTAAAACTGCTGAAGCGCGTTCAAACATCGTACACACTGTGTCTTTGGTAGCAGACAATAAACTCTTCATGGATCCTGTTGCATCCATAAGAAGAAGTGTACGCGAAATCCCTGAAGCTATATTTGCTCCACGATTTTTCTCAGTCAAAACCTTTTTGACAATGTCCATTTTTCCTTCTAACAATGCATCCATAAAGCTTTTAGAAACTTGATGCTCATGCCTGCATTGTTCTATACCAACTTCTTTCGCAGCACACTTGCTTTCATACAGTGCGTTACGAGCTTTATTCAAAGTATCATAAAGAGTAGAACCTGTTATTTTGGAAATTTTCTTGTCCCAATCGGCGCCAAGAAACCTTTCCAAATCGCAATCTAACAATATCATTCTATATGAACCACGATCTCCTTGTCGCGCTCCTCTTCCCATTATTTGATATTCTTCAGATAATTCTTCGGAAAAGAATGTTTGCAGTACATGAATACCACCATTAGCTAACACTTGTCGATTTCGACATATGAAATCAGTCCCCCGACCAAATGTTCGAGTCAATAGTGTAGCTTTACCACCGGTTGCTGCGCGTTTAATGCATAACTCTCTCTCTTTGGTCGAAACTTTCTCGGTAATAATTTGCACATTCTGTTTTATAGATGACAATTCCGAAGAATTGTAAAATGACATTAACTTTTCTTCTAATTCGAAAAATACAAAAATTGCACGTTGAGCATTGCAAATTGCGTCAATTTCTCCACGAATTCTCATGAAATATTCTGATTTGTTCACTGCCTCTACATCATTAGTAGGATTATAATTCCGATTACTTTTCCCAAAAACTGATGGCATATAAGTGTTCTTGTGTATCTCATAAACCTTTTGAAGAATATTTTTTTCCGGTTCTGCAAGTGTTTTTAAAGTACCAGTAACACCTGTGATATAGGCAAATTCATGGGGCATTTCAGCGTAAGAGAATGTTCCACAGTTAATGATGATACCCACATTTGTTTCCAAGCTACTCTGACTAATAAAACCTTTTTCATTCTCAAAATAATATGCCCAAATTGTATCATAACCGCGAACTACATTTTCTGCGATGGATTCACCTTCGACATAGACTATTTTATCATTCTGTATAATATATGTTGATGACTGAAATGATTGTAAAGCAGCCAACATATCTTTTATGGCTTCATCGAAAAGAAAAATCCAATTGCTAAATCGAGTAGCACAAGCTTGATATGCTGGCGTGACTTTAACAGCGTTCAATGCGCGCAAATTTCTATTTTTCCATAATGTGTCTAACAAAGTGTTTATCGAGGAATCTTTTAAATATACCGCTGATGTATACATTCCACCATAATATTTTTCACTTAGAAAAACATCTACTTCATCAATTAACAATACTTTCGGACGGATACATGCAGTCATATGAATTACATCCATGGCGTTCTTATTATTCATGATCATATCATGCACTTTTTCTCGTATATTACATTGCTCATTCAAGAAGTTTTCGCACAATTTATTGAAAGTTCCATACTGAATGTGTTCTTCAATTCCAAGCGCTCGAAATACTGGAGCAAAATCATTCTTATCTCGCATACTTAAATATTCACTATAGCATGAACAATCAACATCGACTCCAACAAGAGCAAAAACACAGGCAGTAACTGCTATAACCACTGATTTGCCTTCACCTGTTCCTATCTGTACTAAATTATTTATCAAATCATTAGAGATTCTTCCAGTGAGGGGTACTTTATATCCTTTAATTGTTTTGTATTCTTTATAACCAATACCGAGAATACGAAAAATGGCAATAACTTGTGCAGCATGTGGCATCAAAAGATAAGTATTTGATGCATCAATACCACGCATAGCATTATAATGTTGAGTATTTTTCAAAGTCCATACAGCAAAAATATGTGCTAATAATTCAGGAATCCTATCTCGAAAGGAATGATCCCAAGAAATTTCATTCGCTTTTTGAACTATTGTTCCAATAAGAACCTTCGTTTGTGTAATCAATACTTCAAGATCTGGCTCTGCCTGAGTCGTCGGATTAAATGCTGCTAAAATGTTCGATATTAAATTATCGTACATTTTTCTGAAAGTTTTATAGCGGGAACGTAGAACATCTGTAGCAAGATCATCTCCTTTCAACTCTCCTATAATATAATCTAGATCATCTTGCTTTTGCATTTTTTCACGTCGCTTTCTCCAATCTTCTGCGCTCAAACACGAATGTTCAACAACTAATCGAGCACCTTCATCAGTTTTCTCTAATATCATACTCAATTGCGAAAGAGTCAAAGCACCATGCTGTGTTTTGTACGATTTTAAAACATCATCTATTATTGCATTGATTTTCATTTCAAACATTGAGAAATTCTCAGCAAAAAACTTCATTTTTACGAGCGATTCAGCGAATTTTGTAACATCACAGTCTAAACCTGCAATGTCTTTAGATAAAGATTTTACTTGTTGGAAAATTTTAGCTTCGGCTAATTCTAAAGTATCTTGAATTTTGGCTTCTGGAAGACGTACATATTTATCAAAGTATACAAGATGATTGTAATACGTACGAAAATAATCTGATTCTATGTGTGAAAGTCCATCTTTTGATGCACAGTCAAGAAGTTTCTTCTTAACATGTTCGACTTTCTCTTTGAGTCCTGTCTCTATTTTTTCCATATCTGTTTCTGATAATAAAATATTTTTAAATTCTGAACTTATCGATTTCAATGCTTTGAAATACATTCCAAGTTTACTGAAAAATTGATCACACATTGCTTCAAATCGTGTCGTTTCGTCACTAATCAGTTTTACATCTAGACTTTGTTTCAAATAGATTATCATTTTCTTTAATTCAGACATCGTTTCCGAGTACAATTTAATATTTTTCATGGCATTCAAAAATCTTTGTATTAAATTATGTCGACAATAACAATTTCTAATCTTGTTTAAAAATCCATCCCAACGTTCTATTATACTTGTTACTTCACGTATTGACTTTATATTCAGCTCGTTCATAGCAGTATCGAATGTATTAGAAATGTTATTCCAATTATCGTACAGATTTTTCAATCCAATTTCGACATTTTGCAAGACTTTTTCGGGTAGTAATTCATGAGTTCTTTGAGGAAATTCTTCACCAAGCTCGATGTATGCAATCATATTACTAAAAGCTTGGTCAACTATTTGAGTTTTCTCAATTTTGAATATGTCAGTAAAAGTTTCCGCATAATTGGTAACATATGTACTTGTTAAAGTACAAACCTGTTTATAAAATTCATCTATTTCTGAAATATTCTGTACATTTTCTTTATATTTAATGATTTGCTTCATATTATTGACAGCGGATTGTATATCTTTGCTATCTAATGCATTCTGTACACTTTTTAAGTGATTATCCAACTTTTTGATAACCCCGTTACGTAGAATTTCAAGAGGTTCATCTCGGTTTTCTTTTTTATATGTCAAAGCAAGTTCGCCTATTCTTTTAATGGCTGAATCGTTTATAGTTTCATTTTCGAGAAAGTCTTTCAAATCACGTCTATATTCTCTTTCTTCGTCGATGAATTTCTTAGTAAGTTCATCCATTTGTGGCTTCAATGACTTTTGCATTCCTTCTGGTAAATATCTTACTATAGAATTTAATGAAATCATTTGCGTATGACGTTTCTCGATTGGAGCTTCACATGCATTCTTTATAGCTGCATCAAAATAATCTTGAATATCTGATAATATAGACGAGCAAACTTTAGTATATTTTTGACTACAATGGGAAGCAGCTTTTTCTAATTTAGATAAAAGATCTTTGGGTGGCTTTTTGGCGTATTTTTCAATATTTTTAAAGTCATTTTGTTTTAAAATATTGCTAGCTAAATTATCCAATCTTTTTCTTACTTCATTTGCCTTTTCAGTAACAGTTACCATGGTAAAATCACTGGCGAACTCTTGTTGCACCTGACGAAACTTTTCCATTCTTTGTTCAGCCTCGAAAGCATCATCATTATCCATGAACTCTTCAATAGAATTGAGTTCCTTTAAAAGTATTTCACATAAAAGTTTTTTGATAGATTCTTCGAAATTGGTCAGATCAGATTTGGTGTTTTCTTGGATGAATTCCATAAGTCTCGGTTTACTCAAAACAATATGAATCTTTTCGATATTTTCATTCATCTTTTCTGTTTGACTCTGATTTTGTTCCATTAGTCCCATTCTCTGATCGAGACCATTGATAATACTACGAGTACTTTGCATCAGATTCTTTAAAGAAGTTTGCAAATCGTGCTTTATGCTCTCTATCTCCTTTCGATTGGTTGTTTTCTCATCAATATTAACTAATTCCATATCTACCTTTGCATAATCTCCGTTAGATATGCAGTTTCGCACAGTTTCATAGGCTTGCTTAAACTCCTTGTTTAGTTCCACCTGATACTGTTTATACAGTGTTGCAAATCCTTTGGATAAGAACGTATCGCCACAAAACTGATCTAAATGCATCAATCCTTGCGCCATGGTTAATTGCTCTTTTAATTCTTTGTTGTTACCAGAAGATTTGTATTCTTCCATGGCAACACTCATAACACGATGCCGTTCACTAAATTTTCTACGCCAATGATCTATTTTTTTAGCTCCTTCGATACATTCGAAAACATGTTTGAATTCACTCAGAGAAGATAAGTCTTCGAGATGTGTTTCTAAATCTTGAGAACACTGAGAAAGATCTTCTTGAGAACCAATAGTAGTTAAATGAGTGAATAATTTTCTGATTTCTTGATCAAGAAAAAATCCATATTCACAAATATACTTCTTCAGTATATCATGAATATCGGCTGCAATTTCTTTTAAACGAACATTAGCTATTCTTCCACAATTACTTGTATATAATAATGCTATATCTGCTGTAGATGCATCGAATCTAATACTAAAATCATGGGATTGCTTATTTTTTTGACGTTCAGTAATAATTTTTTTCTTCTTTTCTATAATTTCAGTGAGTAATTCAATACTCTCTTGTCCCTTTTCTTGTAGAAAATTTATTTGTTCAGAAGAAACAGAATCGTGCGTAATCAACAAAGATTCATATTGGTTTTTGATGGATTTTAATGGAGCCAAAGAATTATTATATTTCGTCTGTTTTTCTTGAATAATTTCCAATTGATCAGCAAGACGTTCCTCAGTTTTTACGACAGTTTCACGTATGGTATCGATACTAGAATCTTCAACTAATCTTAAATGATCATCTGTATTCTGTTCTTTCCTACTTTTATCTTGATGTACGTTTGAGTGACGCACATGATCATGATGTTGAATAATCGATTTCAAAGCATTCAACTCCGATTCAATCTTAGATCTTCTCTCTTTTTCTTGTTCGAGTTCTATTTTTTGTTTTTTCTCTTGGCCATCAATCTCATCATCCAATTTATTAATATCTAAAAAATCGTGTTTCTGTAAAAATATACGAGCTGGATGTAAATTATCGTATTCTCGTTTTATTTGTTCAAGCTCTTTTAATTCTTGTTTCGTTTGATATACACTATTTTCTTGTAAATTAAATTTTTCTTGTATACGATTGAAATTTGCTTGTACACTGCCTAGAAAACGCTCGATCATTGCCTCTCTGGACTTTTTCAATTCTGGTACACTCCGTTCTAAGACACTTAAAGATTCAATCTTCTCAAAAATTTCTTCTGCTACACAAACATTGTCAGGATATTTCAAATTCAAATCTAATTTCATTAATCTATCTTCTAATTGATGGAAATACTGAACTAACTCTTCTGTTACACGATTTATCGAAATATCATATGCTCCCGGACTAACACGATTCATCCATTTGGCACCTTTCAAACGTGATAATAACCGAGCAATTTTCGCATAGTTCTGAGTTCCTGACTGATGATCAATAGAAAGAAGTAATTGTTCTGCATCTCGTTGGAGTTGGTACATATGTCCACATATGCTTCCAATGGCACTATAATATGCTCCGGCAGTTAATAATTCAATTTCCGGAATGGTACGAATCATATTCATAGCATTGACTAATGTTTCTGTATCCTCTAGAGCACGATCGCCATTCGTTTTAAAAAGCTCTAATATCATGTTGTCTATTTGATTAAAATGGTTCACTATTTTTTCTATTAATACACTGTAAATATCACTTAAACTTTTCACGTTGTCTGCCATTTTATCATTTTCCTTTGTCAACATTTCTACATATGTAGAAATACGATCATCAAGTGCATGATTTTCTTTCGCTGATTTCAGTATTTTCACACAATCTTTGACGATTTCAACCTCATTTTCACTTAATATAATTTTTGCTAAAATAGGCTCGGCTTTTTCAGATAATCTATTCAAGTGTTGCAAGAGAGATTGGACAATTTCTTTATATTTTTCTTCTACTAGTCCATGCAAATGATCATTCAGAATCGGCAAACATTTTGATACTTTACGAATAATTTCAGCTACCAAACTGAACTCATTAGCGAAAATAGGTTCATGTGCAGATTGTGCTAGTTCTTTGAAACGCTCTTCAAAATTTTTACAACTTTTAGTGTAAAATGATTCTAGTTCCTTAAAAGAAATTTTAAGTGTACAAAGATTATTGAAATATATTCCTACTAATGGAGTGTATAAATCTTCTTCTATCACAACTAGATGTCTTTTCTGGAGCTCGGAATGAATATTTTGCATCAATGATTCAGGGGACACTAAATTTGATCCTAAATATTCTGCTAATTTTTGGATTTGTTGAATATATACAATAGAACTTTTGTATTCGTCAATGTCTTCCTTTGCTAACCCATCTTGACTTGTTAGCGAACGATTAAATATTTTTGTTACTCCTGTACAATAGTCCGCAACACCTTCGCTTATAAAACGAATGGCATCTTCATAGGCATCTCCAGCTGTACTGTGTTTTAGCAAATCCTTTAAAATTTTCAGCTTATTTAAATAATACATTACAAGATCAATGTCTTTATGTTTCAGTGCACATCTGATGCTTGAATTGTCTACTTGTGCCTGATTTGCGATACATGCTTGTGTTTCCTCATTCGCCGAAAATCGAAAAGCTTCTTTGGGATACACAATACCGCGTACATTCTTTAATTTTTGAATAATGTTTTTACGATCACCATGAACAGGATCGATATTTTCAGCACAGTTCTTAGTTTTATTGATCATATCAGTCAATACTGTTACAAAAGCACTATCGTTACGCAACAAAGGATCTGTCTCTACTTTCGAGATTTTAATGTCCGTTAACGTAGCATTAATGTCAAAGTTTTTAGGATATTTTGTGAATGCATAAAAAATAGCACTAAGTCTCCCCTCAATTCCATGTACCATGTTAATTAATAAATGCGTTAGTTTCTGAATGCCTTGTCCTCTATCACCTAAACCTTTATAACTTGATAGAGCAAGTATCTTGACACTCTCACATCCTTGGATAGCTTCAATAACTCCCACACTATTTGCGATATCGACCTCTGGACCTCCTGTATCACCAAAGCCTGGTGCATCACATAAAATGATTTCTCCGCATTCATGAGGACCAAAAATGTCTTTCAACTGAATCGTAACAGGTGTGATGTAGCGAGTTTCTGCCTTGTTTCGTGGGCTACTTGTCACCTTTCTCAATTCCGGATTACCGATAAGTCCATCTACTGTAATATGATCTAAGAATCTTCCAGGCTCAACTTGTACCTTAATATTTTTCATTTTAGAACCTGCAAGAAACTGAATTGTAGTCGATTTTCCAGTACCTGTTTCGCCTATCAAAAGAATAATTTCTTTACTATAAATTAGTTGGCCGGCCTTTCTCGCTTTTTCAACAAGTCGCAAGATCTCTGGTATATTTAAAGGTCTGATTTTCGTTAAGAGTTCTCCCAAAGACCGTACTGTCGATGAAACATCATGTTCACCTACATATCTTTTCAAATCTAGAATATTTTCTCGAATTTTCTCTGAAAATAGTTCTTGTTTCGTTATCTGATCCTGCAACTTCTGTAACAATAGAATTATTGTGTCGTCTTCCTGCGAAGGCATGTGATCTTCAGTTAACTTATCTTCAAAATGCGACAGAAGTTCCATGATGCTTTTTTCAGCACAAGAAGGCATATTAGCCAAGTCTCGGCGCAAATCTTCAAGATACAAGCGCTTTTTTTCTTTCTCATAATAGGTCATATTACCGAACAATGTCGTTGGATCTGGTATTGGATCTGGTGTTGGATCTGGTGTTGGATCTGGTGTTGGATCTGATATTGGATCTGGTATTGGATCTGGTGTTGGATCTGGTATTGGATCTGGTGTTGGCTTCTGGATTTTATTGATCAAGCCCATCAATTTAACAAAAGTATTTTTCGCTGTTTTCTGTTCAATCATCTTAATACCGTTTAACCACCCGTATTCAGCAACCAAATCCAATGCCAAATCATGCAAGTTTAACCTATTTATTACCCCACTTTGTCTCAAATATTGAACAAGTTCATTTCGATAATATTCCCGAAGAGCCATAAATAAAGAACCATATGGCTTATTTTCCTGAGATTTTTCTAATTGTTTATTCATTATTTCTGCCAGGATGTAGTCTGAATGTTGTGTGATTGATTGTAGTCCATCATGGGTCAGAGAGTTCCATATATTATAGAAAGTTGTAGACATATCATCGTCACTCAATGATTCGAATAATAGTTGAATAGCGATTGATAGTAATGGACAATTGTTCATGTATTTATCGCCGTATTCAGCAGTTCGTGTCAAAACTCGGTCGTATAATTCTTTTGTTTCTCTTTCATATTCTTCGATCAGTGCACGAAACCATGAAAATTTCATACAATATTCTGTTTCCCATCTTTGTTGGTGATATGCCTTGAGTAGTTGCAACAATTTACTATTTTCTCTCATTTCTTCATCGTAGATATCACCGATGATGTCGTCTTTGTAGGAAATCAGTACTTGTCGACCCTGATATAATAAGTTTTTCACAATTTCTGACTGTAGTCCATCGTCAATCGCGAGTAATGTCGTTAGTTCTCGTAGAATTTCGTTACTATTTGGTAATATGAAACTGTCAGTTTCGATCACATCATTTGTTTCAGAGTCCATTTCATGCGTAGAATTGAAACTTTTAGCCATTTTTCGAACTTCTTCAAAAACTGCTTACTCAGAAATAGAAGAACGTTTTTTCCTTTATTGCCGTTAATTTTGATGGTGTTATGAATGCCGCATACTGTTGACGAATAATTCCAAGTATGGCGCTAAAAAGAGACAAGAGAACTTATATAGGCAATAGATTCAAGGTCATATCAGTGGTAAAATGGAGAAGTGTGTGTGATTGTGTGGAACGGCATGAGCATGTATGAGTATGGACGTGCGTGTGCTTGTAGAGTATGAGAGTGAGAATGGGCGTAAATGTGGATACGCGCATGCATAGGCGTTTGGGGTATAGGTGTGGCTACGGTTGTGCTTGTCTCTGTAGAGTATGGGTATGGGTGTGTCGACCTCGGTGTTAACGTTCTCTTTACCAGCAAGCATCGGTATTTCACAAACACAACAAAATCGACACCAACATCCATACCCACCCACACCCTACACCCATACAATAATGCCAAAGCAATTCGTTCCTCATTCAATTGTATTGGAGACACTTGAGAATAATTTGAAATTAATAGTTATGCTGAGAATTCGTTCCCGAATTTGTGCAATGAGTCCCCTTTAGCAACATCGAAACGAGTCATATGATAATATGAGTTTCTTATCGACTCTTAATATATTTTAAAATATTATACATTGGAACTACTATGAATGTTCGTTAACTTCATGATTCAACTGAAGAGTTTTGGATTTTTCTCATAAAAGATGGTAAACATACGTTATGTAAGACCTCTCAGCCTCTAATTGAATGGTTATGATTCTTTCATGAAGTAATAAATTCGAAACATGCCTGATAAGTCCCCTAAGCAAGAATTAAACGTCGTACGATGCTTTGCATTTAATCTGTTATCTTCTAAATACTGTGAAAAATATCAAATGAGACGAAAGCAGGCATATTTAGTATCATCTGGGTAGTTTATCTAGTGGCTACCGGGACTTATTTCATTGGGATTTATTGAGACTGCTCGATAAATACCTAAGCATTTTGAGATAATTCCTATATGATTCCTCAATTTCTACAGTATGTGGATTTGAGCATGCTTATATTCGTGAGGTTGTTGGTGTCTGTGCACTGCAATATCTTCATAATTAATAGACACCAAGGGGGAAATCACCTACTCCTGTACTCAAGTACTTCATGGAGTCCATGTACTTAAATAGTACTCTATGATCTTCATTAAAGTCCATGGAGTACAATACTTTGTACATTAACTATTGGTTCACATTTTTTTTTGTTACATATGGTTTTCATGTAAAAGCGAGTATTTTATTAGCTCGAGCCATATTTAGTTGATTCGAATATCAAACTGATTGAATTTTCATACCGACAGAATACTAAAGTATCTGCCAATACTGTTAAACTTTGAATATGAATTTCTTCTCCTATACATAAATACGAATATGTGAAGCCTAGATTTTGATTAACAAGTAGTCTGTTAATTGTGACTTACTATTTCTACAATGAAATGTACAACTACTTACTCGAAAACCGACTGATGATATGCAAGTATTCAAAAATATCTGCTAACATGTATGTAAGGTGCAGGCAATTCGAACTTTCAGTAAAAATTTTTTTTCGCATTTTTTTCACATCATCGGATAGAGCTTGAGCTGCTGATTACGAAAAACTACTTTTTAGCCTTAGCAAATGCTTCATTCCGGTCGAAAAATACGAAATACTCGAAAAATGTCGTCTTTCGAGAAAAACACATTCTTTCTCAAAATGTGCAAAATTTTCCACTTTGTTTCTTTTTTTGGCTTCTGAAAATAATTTTTCCAGATTCACCATCAAAAACTGAGTATACAAATGTTGTTAAAACGACTACAGACCCAAAACTCTACTGGTGGTGGCGCTTCGAATCGTGTCGAGTGCACCATGTATAGGTCTATTTTGTAAACCTATCTAGTTTCTCCACGTAAGTGACGAAGCCAAATATTTTATCTCATTCGACCCGCCATACCCCTAGCCAAAAACTAATGCATCGCTTTTTTTTCCATTTCGTTCCTGTGTTGAGAAAAACCGGTTTTACTGGTACCAAACCNGATCATCGATGAACTAGACGTGGAAGAATAATCAGTGAAAGTTTGAGATAAATCGGACCTAAATTGTGTTGAGCGTTTACAAAATACGGCCAGGCTGATTTTCAGAACTTGTCGAGCACAGGAACCGACTTTTTTTTTCGAGAAACATTTACTGTTATATATGATTCGATGCAGCTCGGCGAGCGGATTCCGAATATCAGCTTGGATTTGCGCAAAATGTCTCTGTATTCGAAAAACTAACGATTCCGGGGCAGAAACCCGCTGTTCTTTAGGAAACCACTAATTCTGTTTCTGTTCATTGATATGACATCGCGCTATAGCCAACGATAAATCACATATAGGAGAATAATTGCTGAAAGTTTGAGCTCAATCAGACGTAAATTGTGTTTAGCGTTTACAAAATATTTTGTAACTGATTTTTCGACCTACTTTCGGCTCAGAAATCGCTTTTTTTCTACTCCATTTCTGGTTCGATCGAAATAATTTTTTCACACAATGAAGTTTATAGGTTAATCATTCGTTTCAGATAGTTTTTCATCTTAAAATATTTTGATAAGTTAATAACAGAAATGATCTCCGGATAATTACCGGTTTATGAAGACATTTTTGGACGATGGGTTTTCCTAGGGTTCAACTTGATTTCTGGAAATCTAGTTTTAGGGTAAGATAGACTAACCATAGATGTATTCATTTCAATATTTGAACTTTGGAAAATACAACTTGAGGTCATGTCCGCCTGGTTGCCCACTGTGTGTGGGTGTGGGTGTGGGTGTGTGCGTGTGCATGTGTCCTCACTTCACTTCAACTGCCATTCACACCCACACCCACACCTACATCCCACCCACACATCCACACTCACACATCCGCACTCACACCCATACCCACACCCACACCCTCTGATTATTTAATGCGGGATCCTAAATATGCATTTTTTAACCTATGCGTACCTTTTAATCAAGCTTTTATGAAACTGAATGTGGAAGAATAAACAAACGAGCATAGGTAGTCAACTCTGTGTGTGACTCTTCCAGTGAAAAGGATGAAATTACAGGTATTTTCAATTTTGATAGAAATGATATGAATCTTAATTGAGCAAATAAAAATATAAGAAAAGTTAAACTGTCGAAAAGATAATCATAAAACTTAATTGATTGAAAAAATAAGTGATGTCAAACTGTAACTATGAAAATAAAAGAAGTTTAAATACGAAATTCAGATATTCTATCTAAAATTAATCAGAGCAAATGTTTGAACTATTATACATAAGAAATATAGTTTCTAGATGGTGCAGTATGTTCTTCAAGTACAAGTTTAAGTTTCCAAGGTGCTGTCGATCTTAGTGATTATTTATCTGTAACAAGTCAAGAAAACGAATGCATACCACTTTCACGTAATTTTCTTCATTCTTACCGCCAACAATAAATAACTCATCAAAACCAATTCAAGAACTAGGTCAATATATTTTTACACGACTCAGAGTTATCATTAGTTTCACCCACAGATAAAACAAATATGAGGCCTACATGGTATTACTCAATCGAGAAAATTGTCACCAGATTATAAACAGCAAGCCGAATATCAACATATCATCAGTTATATTCTACCTCGTCTTCAGATCAATCATCAACCAGACAATCATTAGAACATTTATCTACATCACCTGAAAGAAAATCTTTCAAAGTCAAACAGCAATAAAGTAAATACTGTTCTTTTTTCTTCGAGTCTTCAAACAATCTACAAATTATCATCTATTTTGAAATAAAAGAAGGATGAGTATTTTGGACTAAGTTTTGATAGGAACCATATACAGATCTACAACTACCATCCTTTAAAAGAGGAGATAAAACTATATCGAATCGTGTATACCAGATTTTTTTTACCAGTTTTAGAAGAGAAAGGTAATTCTGTACTTACTAGTTTGATTGTCATCATCTTGGCAATAACTTATTTAATTCATAGTAAATTCATAATGGACTTTTTTATTTTCAATCAGAAAATATGAAGAAAATACTATGTTGATTATGCATTGAGATCCAGAATCCTGAATATGTTCATTTCCGATACTCGGATTTGTTGGCTGAATCCAATCTAACAAGTTCAATAGTTAAAATTTTGTAAAAATTATTGCGCGATTTTAGTAAAGTTACTAAAATGATCGAACTTAGAATTCTCAGTATTGGTACATACGTACTATTACTTATCCTGATTCCAGTCCTGACAGTGTCAAGAGTTAGAGTTTCCGTTCATGAATATGATAGAGTCTTGGTAGCTTCTAGAGTACAGTGTATACCTATGAAATATTAGATGTCTTTCAATAAAATCTACAATAAGAGGCGACTGTTTATTTCATTTTTGCGGAATGTTTCTGATTCTTGATGTAAAATTTTAACAATTCCCATTATTGTTGAGTTCATCATTATCATTATATCGTGATTTGCAATATGCTTCACACCATGAAGAATCTTCCTGTTTGAATACATCTTATGTTCTCATGACTAAAACATGACCGAATGTTGACAATCTTCATTCAACAACACATCTTACTTCTGTACCTGAACTTTTAAATTTATTAAAGCCACTTCCCATGTCGCCTTTTTTTACCAACTGCGTCGCATTGATCGTTGTGAAAATCTCTATCAAAAACTATGGTTACTGCAATACAGATAAACGCAACTGCATCGTAGTAATAGTATCGTACGATCCGCTGTAACTCACACTGACTAATTATAAATGATTCCTTCTTATTTGTAATTGGTTACACTCTAGTGCTAAAGTTTAGCCACACAGTGACTGTAAAAAAAGCGGTCTTCATGAGACTTCGATTCGTAATTTATTCTACTACAAGAGGTAGAATGTTTTCCGAAAATAATTTTTTAAATTTTTTTAAATTCTTTCAAAGTTTTTTATTTTTCTATTTTTTTATTAGTAATTTTTTAATTTTTTAATTTTCCTAAGTTTTTATCGATTTGTGCTTAAAAAATTTTTTAATTCACAATAAAAATGTTAATAAAATGAAAGCATAACTATGTCATCTCTTTTAGCCATTGCGACGCAGTTAAGGTGTAACTGCGCCGCAGTCTGATCGTAATTGAACACATGGGTTCATAATCAATGTGTAAACTCAAGTGATACAGTTATGTTTACATGTATTTATTTAAAAGTTCCTAAAATAATACAGTAGTATTTAAATGAATATCCTTTATTATTTAAATAAAGGATATGCAAATTTAATTAATAAGGAATAATATAAATGAATCTGATATTGCAACAATAACATGCTACTTAAATAATGTGATAACAACAGCCAATTTTACATTAAATGATAACGGTAAAATATTAATATTTACCGAATCATTAAAAAATAATCCTCCTCATAATCTTCAGATTGATTCAACACTAACACTTCAATGTCAAACTAATCGATCTATTTAACATAGATACCTTCAAATTAATAAATTATGATTTATATAAAATTTATCTTTTGCTATTGTAACAGGGAAGTCTTTTTTTTATTTATTTTCGAAGTTATAGTAAACACTTAGCTCTCCGTTTATGTTCGAACTCGAATTAGGCAGCTCATGGCAGAACATTACATAATTGGGGTTGAAGACGTGATTTTTTTCTTCCACAGCGACTTCAGAGTTTTCACCGTGTGATAACAAATTTTTTAGACAAATGAAACTATTTACCATTCAATGACTTATGATAAAGAAAAAAGAATGAAAGAATCAGCATGTAAACCTATAATTTTTGGTGCCGACAAAATTTGTATGTTCCTATATGTTAGTCGATGTGGATTTACGCCCAAAGCATCGACGAAATTTATGAAATACAGACACAGAATGAGTAGAAAATGCTCATTTCATTAAACACAAAAACATGTTGTAAATTTGCTTCATTTGAAATAAAAATTGTTCTGTAAGTGATGAATTATTTTTGCAAAATATTGGATGTTACTCTCATTTTTATACAGATCTCCATGGAAGGTTCTGTTCAACAATAACAAAAATGTTTCAACGACTTTTCTTTTTTTGTTATAAAAATAGTTCAATCATGTTTTTTATTTTAATATCACAGAGATTTTTCAATCTTTTTTTTTTGACTTGAGTTTTGCTCATTTTCATGTACTGAAAGATCTTTACTTCATGATCACGAGATAAAATATTTTAATACTGTATACGCTTTCATTTAATCCAATCATATTCACAATGTTTTATTTCTAACTTGAGCAAATATTCGGGCAAATATTATGCGTCGTTAATGAATAAATTTAAAAAATCGTGTAATATATGATCAAGAATAAATAAGAACGATATTTTTTATATTGAAAATACGAATTATTAACGAGACAAAATATCAAAGTAAAACTATTTTTTTCTACAGCTGTTTACCTCGAGACACGTATCATTGATCATTATTATAAGGATATTGTGACATATGATGATTGGTTGTTGTGAATAATATTTGTTCGTAAAATAGCGAGAGTATATAATTTATTTTGCCTGACATTCAATCACAACTAGTCTATTTCGTCTCATTTCATTTTCAATTGATCCATACACAATGACTAAAAAAGTGCGACGAAGTGAAAATATTACTGAAGATCATCAACAACTATATGAAAATTTTCTTAAATATCTAGAAATCACGAAATCCTTGCGAAAAATAAATACTAATTCATCTACTCCAGCATTTCAAGGTCTCAATGCAACGCCACTCGGTTTATGTTCATTTGCTTTAACAACATTTGTTGCGTCAATGTATCTGTGCGGTATATCGGTGCCGGTTGATGCATCTATCGGTGTTGTCATGGGCGCTGCTCTATTCTATGGTGGAGCCACTCAACTCTTAGCTGGTTATCTCTCATTTCGTGAAGGAAACACCTTTGGGGCTGTGGCATTTTGTTCGTATGGAGGATTTTGGCTTAGTTTCGGATCAATTCATATAGCTGCTTTTAATTTTCTCGTCGGTTATAAGGATGAATCTATTTTAAATAATGCATTGGGTATGTTTTTTCTTTCATGGGCAATTTTTACAGGATTGATGACCTTATCTTGTCTACGCACTAATTTTATTACTATTGGCCTATTCTTTTCACTTTTTATATGTTTTGTTCTACTATCAAGTAGTAAATTTGCACAAAATCATCGAAATTTACAACGATCATCTGGAGCATTTGGTCTCGTTGCAGCAACATTTGCTTGGTATTCAGCTTTTGCACATTTACTCAACAAGAGTGATTGGTTTTTCAAATTGCCTCTTTTTGAAGTACAACGTAAACAATCCAAGGAAACGAATAATACTATGGAACAAGCATAAAAAAATCGATAACGATGATTAAGAGACATAAGCATGAGCAATTTTTGTTAGAATATTTACTGTAAGTGTAGGAGTGTTGCGCTGAAGAATAGATTGTATTAAAGATAAATATTTTTATTAATAATTTACGTTACGATTGAATATAAGTTTCTGCTAATTGATATTCCAATCCAAATAAAAAATGAAATAAAACAAAAAATAAAATTTTTCTTTGTATAAAACATATCGGCATAAATAGATTTTACAAACAATTACAACGAAAAAAAGAATAAATTTTCAAGTTTCCCTTTGGACTCGACAAACAATGTCGAGTTATGCACTCATGACTTTTAAAGTATCATTACTCAGTTCAGTAATGATAACATTTAACAAGAGAAATATCCTTACTGAAAATAATCTAGACCAATATCTCATTTATTTCTATATTATGTATTATTTTCAAATTTGTCTTTTGTTCATGTTTGGCTCAAGTTTCGTTTCTGACAATAAGTCGCAAGTACCGTCAACGATGAATAGAAAAAGAGATAAAATCATTTAATATCTAACTTCCATTTACATCGAAGTGTATACTGAATACCATTGAAGTAACTGAAATAAGAACTGAGCATGATGATGTGTCAAATGCGAAGCGTTTTTTTTTTCTTGTTGTCATTCAATAGAGAGAGTAGTCCATTCATCGAACAAGGTCGCTTATATCTTTAATCAACGAGAGTAATTTTCATTTATTAACCCTTTGAGGACCGACTTTTTTTTCTATAACAGTAACTAAATTGTAGCGCCGGAATCAGTGACAATCTGAAAAGTACTACCTATCATAATTATAATACTTGCTCTTACTGCAACGATACAAATTTAGAACTTTGACATAGAAAAAGAAAAAAAAACACTCGAATAATCTACCGTAAGAAAGTCAAAGACTTTCAATTTCGACTGAAATTTTCAAACCGTATATATACGGCCTTGGTCTCCAAAGGATTAAGTATCATAAGAAGATATTTGTCGAAATAACTAACAGACACAAATTGAGACTTGAAACACATTCAGAAAGAATTGCGAGGCAACCAATATTACATTATAAAGCAAAAAATAAATTCAGTGTATTTTTCTATTTATATTTCTAAGTAAATCATCATCTTGTATTAAATAATTCGAACGGTTATTTTTCTAATCCATTCATCTAGAAATGTTTAGAAATAAACTTATTGAATCGTGGAGAATGGTATGTGTGAGAACGATGATTTTCTTTTCGGACTGTTTTTTTATATCGAAAAAAATTGATTCATATCATCTTGTTAAAGAGAGAGATAGGTATGTTGACATGAAGACACACTATACAAACAGCAGCATATAACTTTTTTCCCTGATCGAAATTACTTCTTTTCTCCTATCGTTTGACATCAGTTTCATGCGAAGCCCACACTCGTTTTACTTTACTTGTCGATACATATTTACAATAGCTTTTCATAGATTGAAGGCGCGCGCAATCAATGAAGCATAAAACATAATTGATGAAAAAGAATAATGTACACCGCCTTATAGTGCATTTCTTTTGCGCATCAGTATCAACTAAAATAAAATAATCATTTTTTGCTCTATAATTCATATTTATGATTATGCATAATCAATGCACATAGCTTTCTTTGTTAATCCAAGGTTATATCACGGTTGCCAGATCGAAAACTTAAAATTCAGAATTTTTTTTGAAAATCAGAAAACAATCATAACATTTACGAATAAAATCAGAAGTAATTCAGAAAAGCATGTTTTTTGCAAATTATTGACTATTATGTTAATATGCTGGTAGCAAATACTTTACTGGTATTTTTCTTAGTCGACCTACACTTTATTTTCATAGGCATTTTACTATAAAAAAACACAATACAACAAGTATATTGTTTAGCTAATACCAAAACACAAAAGATACTTAGTGCTGTATTGTTTCCCTAAACTCGAATATCATTCACAAAAATATACTAAAACAAAATGAATATATGCATATCATGTAGATTAAGAATTTCTACGAAAGAAAAATAAGTTATATAATATCGATTCGGTATTATCGTTAATATTCACAATTTTTTGATTTTGCTTTAATAAGTGTATTTGAGTGGAAATATATTTATAAAATTGTTCGCAAGAATAACTACTAATCATTCTTTTTTTAAGTTGAATACTACCATAGTAATAAGTTATAATCATATTTTACGTCACCTAGGAAATTACCATATAAAAGAGTTCAGTATTCGGAAGAAAATTAGAAAAATTAAAAAACAAGTACCAAAATTCAAAAATAATCACAAGAAAATACAAAAATCAGAAAGAATCAGAGCATCAGAAAGTATTCAGAAAAATTTCCAAAATTCAAAATATTTTTCTTTTGTTCAGAAGATCTAACAACCCTGGTTATATGGTACATAATTCAATAAAAGGTATTAAAGCAATCAACGTGTAAAAAAAGGAGCACGATCACATAGTATCAGCTATTGAAAATGATATTCTTCTTCAATGTATTCAATAGCAAAATATATTTGAAAAACCTCATTTTATCTGGACAAGTAAGCAAACACAAACTATGATATTCAAGCGATATTGTTTGAACAAGTGTCCTTGAATTTCAAGCTATTCCATTTTGTTGGACGTCATGCTGTTCCGCGCTCAATGAACTTCTACGTATTAATTATTGTAGAAATAAAAAGACTCGAATTTATTTATCTTGATGTTACCTTTGACTCGATTTATGAAATCAAACAAATAATCATGTATCGGCATTTCGCTCGATGTTTTTGATAAAGAGAAAAAAAAGGATATCGTTTCCATTTGTAAACGACTAAAGGATTATTATCATATCGTTCTCGAGAAAATGCATTGTACATTGGTCAAATCATGAACAAAATTTCATGTTTCCATATCATTGAGATCAAAGAAAGCAAGAACAAATCGATCAAAGATTCTAGGTAGATGTAGCTATTGGTATGATTACGACAGTCCAATTTGTAAAAATATAGTTGTTGATTATATATGATACTTTAACTTTAAAAAAGTCAAAGTTAAATTGCATATGTTCAGGATGTTCTATGTGATCAATTTTGACTACTCCCTTAACGTTACAGTCGATATTCTTAATAACGATTGAAATGTAATTTTTATATCCTAATAACGACGTACTCCTCAAACTAGATCTATGTATCACTTTCAATGCCAGAAAAAACAATGCCGATTTTAGTAGTCTAATGCAACCTGATTATTTTCTACAACTTTAATTACTACTTTATGACAACTCAATAATTTTTGTCGGAAGTCTGCCTAAGTTATTCGAGAAAATATTTTTTTTAATCTTCATTCCATTTAAAGTCTTTTTAGATCAATAGAATAGAATGTGCTGATCACATATGTTGCATTCTTGGCAGACTAAAAAAAAAAGGTTGTGGAACTGAATGATCGTTAATATCTGCAAAAGATTCATTGAAATTGAACTCATTCAATGCATAATCTTTTTCCATTATTAAAATCTATTAGAGACCGAAACAAGTCAAGAAAATCCGGAATCGACTCGACTCGACTCGGTTTCAGTCTCTAGAATCTATAGCCTCCATATATTGATAGAAATAAATCGCATGACACAAATATAGAGAATGAGATCCAAGAAATTCTAAAAACTTTCTCCAACACGGTGAGAAAAGTAAAATTTCAAATATTATAGAAGTACTATTTATATAAAAACCATTTACAATAAAATATATTAATAAATAAGAGTGGTATTTTTCTGTTAACTGATTTGAAATTTAAATTCTTGTCCAGCTAAATCTAAAATAAATTTCAATTTTGTAGAATTTATTTCTGGATTTAATAAATGTTTTTAAATGTATTTGATCACCCCAATTAATAAACCCTATCACACGTTTTCGATCAAAAATAAAATGAAGTAAAAAAAATTGACATTTACAAGGTAAATTAAAGAATAAGAGAATAAAGATAATGATACAAGATTCACAATATAATTAGTATAACTAGATGAAAACGAGAAAGGATACATTTTCTTTTTACTGTGTGTTCTTGAACTGTTCGTATAAACGAATAAACAATATATTATGAAATTGACTTGTTGATAAACCTGTTCATATTTGCGTGAATGGCAATTCGACTAAACCAAATAATCTTTTACAGAAGCATTGGTTGCTGTTATGGCATGTACTCTTGTAGCTACTATTGATGATAATGAAAAATAACGATAAGTTTCACTAGTAGACAAGAAATTTATTGAATCACAACTAGTTAGGTGACTCGGATTTACAGGGTGAGCTATTCTCGTACCTCTGTATCTCGACTGAGCAAAATGTTCTTATCCTTAACTTATATTTTTTCTGACACTCCCATAACACTATCGTAGACAAAAAGGCTCTGAAAGTGATAGAATGACAGAATAGTATTATGTTACGATATGCAGGGTAACCATGTTACGTAGCGTCTATTTGACTCGAACAAGTTTTCTAACTCTAACCTTACACTACTCTACAACATGCTAACCATCACTCTACACAGCTCTAGTATGGCGTTCTGCAGGTCTTGTGTTGCGTAACGTTCTCTAATGTACAATGCCCCTTGCGACTTCTTTAACCTTCGACTAAAAGAATGTAGATTTTCAAATGAGCGGAAAGTAGCCGAAGTCATCACCTTGAATAAATTAAAAGTCGGTATTTCCAGAGGTGATCAAACAAGCCACCTGAAAAGTTATTTTTACTAATAATGCAACAGGTTTTGGTTTATCCTGTAAGTTCTTTTCTCAAACAGGCGAAAAACTGTCGGAATCGATCAGTTTGTAGAGCGAATACTTCTTTACAAAAAATTTTTCATGCAAACAAATTTTTTCTTTTTTTCAAAGATTATTTCACTACTTTCAAACAAAGACTGGGAAATCATTTCTAAATTCATATTAGACGAGAGAACAAAATCATAGCTTTTGACTCGTCGAAAATACTTTCTAATGGGTCATGAGTGAACACACATCTGATCTAAAAACTTTTCCAACACTCATTAGTGCGTTAAGAACTGTTGTAAATATAAACAATGTGTACAGCAAGCTTATTTGTCAGTTCCATCAATGATTAGAATAATCATAATGTTAAATTAAGAAAAAACGGAATCAATAACGAGCGAATAGTAACAAGTAAAACAAAGTAACAATTTGTGTTTGTAATACAGAAATAAATCAGACAGATCATTTTTATCTATTGATTGATTTTTCTTGAAAAAAGAAATCCATAGTCTGTTAGAGAGTTTTCATTTAACATACTTTTTAACAAAAAATAAAATAGAATATTTTTTCTTCTTTAATTATTTACAATTTGAATAACTCTCAACTATACTTGAATTAAAAGTGTTGTTTCCTTGTCTAAAATGAATATATCTTAGCAACAAGAAAAAAAATTGTTTTTTCTTTATTATTAAACTACAGAAAAACACATAGTTATTTTTCAGCAATTGGTGATCGTATATTAACAGCACCACAAACATTTGGTCGTATTGTAACAATACCTGATGGTGATATAGCAATGATTCAACTTGATCATATACTTGCTGTTAATGGTTCAATGATTAGAAATGGATCATTGAATGATCATACTAACTATGTTAGCATGAATAATTTTGAATGGGATACTTCACGTGATTATTGGCGACCAAAATTTGCACTTGGTGATAAGTATGTAAAATTGGATTATGTAAATTCGTTTATAAAAACGTTCTTTTATTTTGTTTTTTTGAAGAATAACATTACATATGACGACAACAAGAGAAGAAACATCCCGAAGTGCTCCACCACCTCGAACATTACCAGTAAAAGTAATAATATATTTATAGAATTTCTTTTTAACTTTGAAAAAAAACCTTTTTTTTTTTAAATATTTATTAGACATTAGAATCAATTGAAAAAAAACGTCCAATACCAAAATTGTTTGAAATTAGTAAGATTCTTTCGAAAATTTAATATTTCTTTAAATCTAGTCTTATGCATTCTATATAGATCTTAATAAGCCAAGGTATATTTGATTGGATTTAAATAGTTTCTTATTATATTATTTCTCTTGAAAATCTAGAGAAGCCTTTGTTGAACCACCCCGTGAACCAACACCTCCTCCATCGCAACCACCACCATTATCAATGCCTAATATTGATCATGAAGAAAATAATTATTCACAACAAATTCCAACTACAGAAAATAAAGTGATCACAAGTGAAGAGTAAAAAGAAAAAAAAATAAGACTTAATTTATTTTATCTCATTCTTAATTTTATTATATTAGAATTACATTTGAACGTCCAATGTCTGTTCGAATAATAAAACAAAAACAAGAACAACAAAACAAAGATTTCACAATTAGTGAAACAATTTCTTCATCACCTGTTCTTATTGAATCAACACTTTTTCTTATGCCTGATCAATCACAAGCACCAATATCATCTTTTGAACAACAACAACAACAATCATTTACTGCATCAACAATAATCAATGATTTTGAACATTCATCATCTGCTTCTCGACGAACAACAACAAATCGTATACATGTACCAGTACATAATGCATCACAATGGTTTAATGGACCTAATATGCAAAATGAACGATCAGGTCGAATGGAAAAAGTTGTTTCTTCACTTGTTCGCCGATCATTTCGTCCAGTATCTGATAATACGTATGTTGAATCAATGGCATTATTTATTTTAAAACTGTATGTTTTAGGATGCCACGTGTACCTACATTAACGTCACCATCATCAAGAGAACATGCTCTATCTAAAGGTAATTATTTTAATTGAAAATTATTAGGAAAAAGATCTTCTAAGCTCATAAGTCTAGTCTTAGAAACTCGCGTCAAATTCTCAGAATTGTTTGAGGAATTTTCAATCTGAAATACTGCTTTCGAGAAACCATTAAAAGTATTGAGGGAACCAGTCATATTCAACATAGCAATTTTATTCCTACTTTTGTATTATCGATTTTGACGAGTAAAATGTTTCTCAGAATTTTAATTTGAAAAGATCAATAAACTTCGAAGAATAGTAAGCTGATTGGCTTTTCCGAATCACCACAAATTGGCTTGAGTCAATAAATTATTTTTTTTTGCCTGTACTCTATTATTTATTTTGCCGTTGTTACTATTCGCTCTTTATTTTTTTAAATTTTTTTGTTTCGCTTTTCTTAAAACACTACTTTATTATTATTATTATTATTATTCTAACCATTGATTTAACTAACAAATAAGCTTATTGTACACATATACTATATTTATAACAGGTCTCAATATACTACTCAGTATGTATCTTAATAATCTCAGAAACGCTGCTATTGATTATTTCTGAAGACGACAACTCGGTCAGCTCATACTGCTAGTTTTGATGATTTGACGACTATAGGAAATTAAAACAGTACTAACCATCATCTCCGATACCTTTAATATAATCTCGAACTCTATAAGCTCTTGTTGCTAATGCCATTAGGGGCTGTTTCTATTGTTAAGGAAACATACCCACTGACCATTGACTTCATTTATTAGAGCCTATTGTAAATGTGTTTGTCAGCTACCTAAAAATCAATGTTCTGTATCCTCACAATTAGTATTTAATTCGGGTTACTATGATGATTTTTGCTAATGAATAGATTTGATAAAACTCTTCGTAAATACTCATAGTACATAAGAACATTGCCGTAAATCATAAATAAACTCGTATCTAAAACTGTCGCTTGATAGCTTATGTTGAACTTAAATTTATTTGCAATTATGATTTCAATAATTTATTTAGGTGTTCGACCAGGTACATTACAAGATTTTTGTATTGAAAGTCAGCGAATGGTACCAACACCATTTATGTTCAATCGACAATCGCAATCAGCTAAAAGTCGATAGTAAGAATTTTGAAAAAAGAAGCTAACAAAATTAAAAAAATTCAAATTTTAGTACATCAACAACACGTTCGTATGATGTAAGTCGTTCAAATGAAAGTGGATTTCGCATTAAATCTCTGTTCAATCCACCATGTCCGACACCTTCATGGATGTGATATATTATATGGATGTGTGGTTTATTTTTAGAATTTATGGATATGTAGATAAGAAATTGTATTCGATCAATGTGGATTCAATCCATCCATATTTTTCCATATTTTAGATATTTCATTTTGTGCTTCTTTGCATTTTATATAACCAATTTGTGCCTTAGTGTTACAGTAAAGCTTATATTTGTAATATCAAAATTCAAACTATGACGTGATAATAAATATAAATAGCAAGAAAATTAAATATAGGATTCATTTTTTAGCACTTAAGAGTAATGAACGTCTCAGCTTTCATTACTTAATCTCAAATCTTTACTTAACCTTATACTTCAATTGTTTTGAATATTCTTCAACAAAACAATATTTTTCGACCGACAAGAGCTTTGTTAATACTACGTGTAATAGAAGTTTAATCGGTTTGATCTATTATATTCATTCGACGACGCCAAAATATAAAGCAGGTCAATATGATTTGAATAACATTTGATACAAGCAAGATAGAGACCTGCGGATTTCACTATTCAAAAGAGAATATAAGAGCTCATAATATTAGCTAAAAATTGATTGTTCAAGTTTTTGCGAGAAGTTTCGAAAACGATTCTCTAGAAAACTATTTCATTGTGTTTCACCTTATGCTGTGATCATTCAATACAGAAAAATTATTCTCTTTCGATCTACACAAATTCAATCTTTCTAACTTGTTCTATTCAAAAGTTGTAAGGTTTTTCAGGCATCACGGCTACGTCCTACTGACTTTAATGTACTCAGATAGCAGTGATTGAACCATTACAACTACAGTAAGTATATGTACAAAAACGTTTTCCTTAACAATTGTACTTATACTTAAGTTCCATCATATCATGTTCTGCTGTGATTAATATTCTTTTATCAACGTCAACCATTTTCGTAATCTAATGACATATGTAATAGTAAAAATCTTAGCTGGTAGAATCCTCATTACCAGGTAATAAACTACATAAATTCTGGACATTTGTTTCTCAAATGAAAAATGACTGTATTCAAATTGATAAACACAATTGTATATCAAGTTTTGATTATAAATATTTAAAACAAGTCTATGAAAGTTCTCCAATATAATTCTTTCAGAAATTTATATCTAAGATAAGCGCCTTGTGTTCTTGATACTTTCACAAAAAACTTCTATAATTGTTTAAAATAGATTACTGTCCAGAAAAAAAAATATTTATAATGAAGTATACAATAATGCCAGTAAAAATGTTTCAATAAGTTACAAATTTATGATAATTATGAGAGAAAATTCTTGAGAACTCATGTAGAATTCTTTTTTTTTTTCATAATAACGTTGATTAATACTTCAATATATACGTCTAGTTGCACTGCTGAAAGAGCACATCTTCCTTGATTATGAACAGTAGGAAGAAGTAACTTTTCTTAAGTTCATAAAAAATATGCTACTTCTTATTCCTGAGAGCCTACCGTATTTCTTTTTTTTTGAAATTTATTAATGTTAATGCTTGCTTTCTAATTTTTTTTCTCTATCAGCCAATGCTCTTGTTATTATTGACGAAAAAATTCAAAAATATGAAAATAGAATTCAAATCAGTACAGTTATAATCTATATATATATATGGTAGACGTTTTCGATCAATTTCCTATTTGAAACAATTATACGAATAAACGTTTATGTTACATCATGACTTATAAACCATATATTTATCAACTGATTATCAAGTTCTTTTGTATCTTCAAAATGCTACTGAAACATGCCGAGAATAATTTTAAAACTTTTTTAATTGTCATAATTAAATTCTTCTTTTTTCAATAAATAATCAGGCTTTTTTTATTTTACACAAAAAACTAACATTTAAAATGTCGGCTGCTTAGTCAAGCGTGAAAACTTAAAAAACGTGTGTAACTGAACTCAAAACGAATCTGTATACATGCACGATGTGCTTTTACATAACATATATGTAAATGCATTACAGAGCGTACTATATTCGCGATTGTACGCATTGAAAATGTACACATGTACATGCACTTTATTATTGCATGTAAGAGCATGTATACGTTTTATTTTTTACTAACTCTTACATTCGCATGCGAGAAAATTCTAGAATGACCAAAATATATATATACTTTCTTTTGTGCGACAAACTTTTCATCATTTGACTATCCACGCACATTAGAAATGCAAAAAATTCTCTAGGATATTGTGATACTCTCACAGCTATGAGGTAAGTGTGTACATGAATGCTAATGATTGTGAACAATTTTAAAAAGTGAATAAGATTTTTGAGTCAATATAGTTCAGTTACATAATAGAGTGATTTTATTGTAACGAAAATAAATAAATATACGATGAAGAAAACATTTATCTCTTGCATGAATCAGCATGTACACTGCAAACTAGCTGAAATTTGCATGTTGATGTTGACATGCAGCATTTAGCAATGCTCTAATCATGCTGAAGGTACACGCGAATAGCACTTTTGCTCTTGCATACACACACAGAAATATTGCATGAAAGTGTTTGCAAGGATAAGAATCATACATGATCTAGCATGTTCGTTCATAAGATACAACGATTGGAACAATATCTTGCAAGTTAAAACGATTTTCTGAAAACTTCTCGCAAAAACACGGGTATTTTAAAGTTTTGTGTATGATTGTGTGCTGTTAAATTTCGACTAAAATTTATCAAGTTTTTACCTATAAATCAATTGAATAAGATTGTTAGAATATAGATAGTCTTTCGAAATCACGTTAAACTGATTATATAAGTGACATCATTATGGATAGAATGCTTACATGAATGTATCCACCGAAGTATCTTCCGTGTCATGATGAATACTGCATTCCGATACCTTTTCGTATTTGCATATAATTCAAAATCTAGAATATTTGCAAAAACCGTACTTCTTTATTGTATTTCAATATATTTGAGAGTACTTCTCAGTGTTCTCATGTGTTCCATTATAATTTGAAGAATTTCATAGAACTCACTTACAATTCTTATTGAAACAAAACGAATGAGAAGTGACTATTTTATTTTTTCACTTTCAATTTCATTCAAGCACACAGAATCATCCTATGTATTGATAATAACAGAAAAATGCTTTATAATGCTTTGAAGTACTCGAAAGAATCGTAATATGTCCAAAAGAATTTTAAAGTATCCTAAAGCTTATAAAAGCTAATGAAATATGAATTATGATGCTGATTCTTTTCTTTAAAAAGAGCATTATTTAAAAAATGTTCATAAATATATAAAGAAGCAAGACTTCTCTTGATGTTGATTTACTTTTTATTTCCCATAATCTTATTATCAAATATGAAACAAGCATTCACTTTCAAAATATGAGAAATCATTGAATCAATGGTTCTCTTCTGCCATCAAAGTATAAATATCAATTTTGTATTCATTGATTTTATCCTTCTTTCATTCTTTCCCATTGTTCTATATACAAAAATATCGAAATGTGATAAGGAAATCAAGTCATTGAAAATTCTCCTCTAAATATGCTCAGAATTTCTTTGTGAAATGTTATAAAGACATAAATATAACAGTTACATATGATAATTATTCTTTCCAAAACAAAAAAAAAAGAGTTTTTAATATACAATAGTGTTACACTATCAATGAACACTTAAGTACATCCACTCTAAAGATAACGTTTTGTTGCAAAGACTTAATATAGCAAGTGGAAATAATTATATTAATTACTTTCATACAATTGTACTTTCTGTTACTCGAAAAGCCAAAAAAAAAATAATCAAGTTCAAGGATAATTTGCCGTGTTTTTGTCATTTCATTTTTTGATTATTGTAATATCTAGTATTTTTGTAAGATTAATGAGTATTTTGAATTAGCAATCAAATTTTATTTAAAAGAAGTAAAAACGAAAGAATTTGTTCTAATATAAAATAGTCAATAGGGAAAAATTGGGAGTTAGAATGAGAAAGACTAACCAAACGATTAGTATAGCATGAATACGAAACTTAATTTAAGTTTTTGTGTTTTGCCATTTGAATTAAGTAAAATTAAATTTTCAATAGTGGAAAACTTGCAATCGAAAATGAAACATTTTCGTGTTTTTGAAACGAGAATAATTTTATACATACTAAATGAAGGACGTAAAATAAATTGTGACTCTCTCTTGCAATACTCTTTGTCACATATTTTCATGTTGGCCAAGACTTATATTTATAATTTGGCAAAATCTTGAAAATTTTTGAATAATACTGGAATTATTATGACTGGTCACTTGTCAACATCACTGTCACATGCAGAGACAAAATGACTCCAATATTGGCTGAGTTAGTTGCTAGATAATGTCTGTAACGATAAAATGGGGAGATGCAATGACAGACTGGAGGAGTAGCTTACCACCACTCTCGGTAATGATGTTTATCAGCTACTTCACATCTCCAGAATGTGTCTATTACACATTCAGCACACGCTTATATATGACAGAGAAACAAAGAGAGAGAGAGAGGAAGAGGAAAGAAGAAGAGCAGCGAGCCGTGACGCATATATCGGCACAATGTCCGTTTTTCTCAATTACCATACAATTTGCTGTTAGATTTTTTTTATTGTTTATCAGAAGAGATTCAATTTCTCAATCTTCTTTCGAACAGTAGTTTTCATGTAACAGTTTGATCAAGTATCAAAAATACTCACTACCAACGATAAAATGGTTGCGAATCGTGTTTTTGATGGATATTTTCATGAACAGTCAATCACGAAAAATACAAGGTTCTTATAAAATTTTTTCGCCCACAGAACTGTGTAGAACTCATTTCACTGATCATTTTAATAAAAAAATATTCAAAATTACTCAGAAAGTAACGATACTAGAGTCAAAATACCCAAAGTATTCCACAATTTCTGATTGTTGCTGAGCGTTAGTTGATGTTTTTGAGTATTTTGCTTTTATCACCGTTATTTTGCTGAGTAAATTTGAATATTTTTCCTTCCAAAATGATCAGCGAAACGAGCTCTACAAAGTTTTATGGAAGAAAAAAATTTCTAAGAACCTTATATTTTTTGTGGTTGACTGCTTATGAAATATCAACTAAAAACACGATTCGCATCCATTTTGTCGTTGGCAATCAAGTACTTTTGAAAATATTTCGATTTTATTTTAGTTTTATTAATGCTTGTATCTCTGTAAGAAAGCTGATTGTCTAGCATGGAGTAGATCCAGACGTATCGTGCGTGCATTATAAATATTAGTCTTGGACGTTATGAAAAAATATGAGAAAAGAGGGAATCGCAACTTATTTTCAACTCTTTATCTAATTATTTCAAGTTATTGTTATTAAATAAATTCAAATAAAGCATAGAAAAATATCTAATGACAACACCAAAAATGAGCACGACGTTTTTGTACAACAATTGGTCGAATATCAGGCTATGAGGAAAAAAAGAAACACTTTTTAATTTATATCATATTAAAATAATTAAAAATTTACTTACACCTTGTATAATAATATTATGTTTTGGTTCCATTCGTTCAATTAAATATTTATTAATTGATGAAGAATTTTTTATTTCGGCAAGACCAGGTTTAGAGAAATATATTTTTGATAATCGTTGTAAAGGATTTGCAGACATATTTAATGAAATATCAATTTGATGATTTTTTGAAGATGCGTTTTTCGATTCTATGTTGTGTTGAACATTTGTTGATATTGATTTTCGTTGTCGACTTTCTTCATTAATTGACAAAAGTGATTCCAGTCGATGTAAACGAACCTTTTCACACAACAACAAAAAAAACACACAACTCAACAAAACAAATCTATATTTAAACTTACACTAACATGAGCTGGTACTGTACCAGACCAAAATTTCCATCGTTCACGTAATATTTTAGCTAAAAAAAAACAAATCAAGTCTCGAATGATTAAAAAACAAAGAATAAAGATATTTCATTGAGACCTTGATGTAAAGCACATAAAACAAAATTTTCTGATATGTCATTAAACACATCTTCGTCTTCTTCTTGACCTTCTTTAGACATAACGTTTGGAATTTTAACGAAGAGAACAGAAAACACGCGCCTTTTTGTTATCGATAAATAACATATGTCTCGCGAATAGTGTTATAGATAGAATTCAGTATAAGAGAAATCCAATGATTTTTCGTCAAAATTAAATACAATTTCATAGAAATGCAATTAAAAACCAGAGAATAATCTGCCAAAATGTGAACATCATAACACGATTTCCTTCACAATTATCAAATAACCATTCCGAAGAACAGTAAATATTTATTTTTCTAAAATCTAAACAATGCAAAGCACTCAATTTCGCTAATTCAAACTTTTGGATAACAAAGTTGCCTCCGGTGTTAATTTTTATTGTTTAAATTAGCCAACCAATGTTCAAGTGTTGTTTGAGAATACAATTTTCTTTAAACCATGAAGATCAATTCTAAGTTTTGCACTCTGTGATATATTTCAATCTCATATATCTATCCTGATATGAATCAACAAGAATTATGTCTCTTTTTCAATCGATGAATAAAATAAAATAAATACGAACAATCGCTAATAAGCCTTTTAATAGAAATTAATATGAGCGTTGAAACGATCGCGATCGCGATCAGATTTTTTGATTAGGGTGGAGAGGGCTTTTTCAGCCTCTAAATGGCCGATTTTCTGCTGCAATTCTAAATACTTACTGCCAATTTTTTACGGGATTGTGGCAAACGCGGACGAGAGACGTCCTGATGATAGGGTGTGGGTGTGGATGTGAGTCTGGATGCGAAGGTGTGAGTATGAGTGTGGATTAAGAGAAGAAGTACACTCACTCCCACCGTCACATCACAGCCACGGAGTGAACCATCCTTTTTCCTGTTGTTTTCTCTTTTTTGTTTTGTTTCTTCTATTTGTTGTACATATTGTATAGGTAAATTATTTTCCTATATATTCATTCACTGTGTTTCTACCTTTATATAGACCGTAGTGCTCGTAGTAAAGTACCATCAATAATGTTTTTGAAAACATGTCGAGGATGATCAGATATGAATGGTACTACATATGGTTCAGCTGCTTCTTTATGGTACACTGAAGTTGTCAAGAGTACATTTTTCTTTTCAATAAATACATCAAGAAATGGCACATATGTTCCAAATTGACGAACTAATTTGATATTTGGACTATAATTACTGACTTCATCTAGCATTTTGTGGATTTCATTTAATATATGGAACAGACCGTACATAGATCTCGTTGGATGCCGCTTGTCGACGGTCGAGCTTTTGTTCCCATTTCCACATGAAAATATTAGCTAGAGTTAATATAAATGCTGATCCCATAGCACCACCAATAATTTGTCGACAGAATTTCTTTTCATATATGAAAACATTTTCTGTGATGACAATATGAGCTAATTTTTGAATAGCATCAATTGGAATATGTTTTACTTTACGATAACCGTATTGAAGAAGAAATTCAGTTAGAATATCGAGTGATTCTTCTTGTGGTAGCATTGTATATAAATCTATAATATCAAATGTACATAGATTATTTGTTGGTTTAAGATAATCATTAGCCACATATGTTTCCAAACGACGAATTAAATCAACATCATCAATAATTGTTGTTGACCGAACATGTTTATCAAATAATGGTCGAATTAATTCGTCTAAAGACTTTGATATTTCAGTTGTTGGTATATTTGTTGATGTGACAATAGGTCTTAATGATGTTCCTTTCTATTTAAATAGAATGAATTATTTTGTGTGGTTTAGGAATGAAATATAAATAAGCCAGTTCAAGTGTTTCTCGTTTTGGCATCATTTTATCAAGTTGCCACGATGGAATGTGTCTTTTTTTACGAAGATCGTTGAGTAAATGAACAACTTGATAAAATACTGTTCAGAATGGATTAGATTCTAATTCAATATAAGCTCCAGTCTTTTGTCGACAGCTTCTTACTTTCTTGTCATAATATATTGTGTAACCAATATGAAATATACCACTTTTATCTGTAACACGAAGAATATATTTTCCTTTCTTTAATCTATGTTGAATTGATTTCATTCGTTTAAGTTCTTTTCGAGCACGATATATCTCAAGATAAAATATGGCAGCCATATATCGTTCAAAACGATGTAGATTCATAATATTCTTATGTTCTTATTGCACTTGTTATTTTTTATGTTTATAAAAATGGAGATAACTTTGATTTGGTCTTATATAATTGGGTCCTTAATACAGACAACAAATAATGATATGAACATGTAAAAATGAACTAAGTGACTGACATAAGTATTGAAGAAGATTTTCAACTTACCATTACTTGAGAGATAATCTAATTGAACACGATTCAATGTGAGTTTTGGAACATCGGTAATTATTTGTAGATACACATCGATTCTTTGTTGTTTTGATAATGAATGACGACGATACTGACGTAATAATTTTATATGTAGACGAAACTCTTTATAACGAATTGTGCGTATTAATCTGTTTTTATGATGATTCAAATACGCTTTCAGTAACATCTTTATCATATCTACGTGACCCTTTTGATAAGAGGAATTTGTATGTAGTAGTTTGGATTCAAATGTGTTGATGGCTTGTTGATAAAGATATTCATAATGTTGAATTTTAATTTCACATTTTTCCAACTCGTCATGAAGCCTTTGTACGTTTTAATTCTTGTATAATTTTGTTAGATTTATTCTCAAAAAGTTTTTGATCTGTACCAGTTATCGTGTAGTCGAATGATTTTGACAATTAATGACATAAAATGCGTTGTTCAAACATTGTTAAATCTTCGAAAATTTTCAGTTGTTTTTTTACAAATAGTAGTCATTTATTTATTACTTCACATTAAAAAATACAAGCAAAACTCTACATAATTAGAATTATTGTTTATACTTGTTCTGTAGTTAAATAGTGGCAATAAAATTGTTTAAATAACTTCTTATCATATATGTGATCTTGTAATTCCTTTATTTGATAATTGATTGTTCTTAATAGATCAATCTGATGTAGACGAACAAATTCTTTTAATCTTTCATCAACTATCACTAGAGAGGGTAATGTGCATGGGCTAGATGATGATTGTATAGTTAAATCAATTGTACATTGTTCGCTTTTCTTTTGTAATAAAATCACATATTGCTCTAGATATTTTTAAATTACACTATACTCATTTGGTTGTATGATATGAAGAGTGTTATCCTTGAAAATAGGTTAATATCATAATTTGCATAGAAACAACAATAGTTAAACTTAACGGCCACATTTGATATTGTAAGTCAAGATCGAAATAAGTTTGATATAAACGACAAATTTGATAAAGACAAAATTGTTGATCAAATATGTCAAGTCGCGAAAGAATAAATTGTTGTTCTTTCTTTCTCTTAAATTTGTAATTTAAATGAAGATGTAATGAATGTAAAAGAAATTTTCTTGACATTTTTAAGTATTTTGATGATCTATATAAACAAATACCATCATCTTTATTCGGAAGATTCGTATTATGATCTACAGATAACATTCTTCCATTCATAGAATTCTTCATTTTCTTAGATGTTCTTGGTGATATAGATAACTGACTCAATGTTTTAATAGAGTTATTTACTAAATTTTGCTTTGATATAGCTCTTTTTCGGTTTTTCGTTTTTGTGGTATTATTATTCACCATTTGTTCATTTAATAATTTTTCATATATTGTATAACTTCTTGAATGAATCAATTTTATAATATCTCATTCGTTTAAACCACGTGCTCGCCATTTTCGTTTGAAATGTTGTATTTTTCTATTTCCATGACATTTCGATTTTTTCTTGACGATATTGGACTCTGCTCCGATACAGATCTCTGTCGGTAATCAAATTTGTTCACAACGACCTTCAGTATGTTGTGATGGACCATTATTACAAGCTGTATTAAAGTTATGATTGTTATCTATCATTCAATCACAATGTAGTCGAAAAATAGGTGTAAATCTAGAATATAAAAGGTAAACGTGTTTATGTAGATATTCTTTCAAAAATGAAAAGAGTTTCACACAAATTAACAAATATTAATAACAGAAGAAACTTTAGAGAAATTTATTAAAATACAAAATACAGTTCAATAATGAAACAGTGATATTAAACGACGATCTAATGAATTAGAATTACTGCTCGTTGGCTCTTTCGTATATGACTATATCAACTTCTAATAATACCAATGATGGAATAATGGTTGCTGTTGTTCTTCATTTTGTAGAAGGAAAGTTCAATGATACGACTAGATGGTATATCAATAATGTGAATGATGCATTCGCCCAAGTCTCTTGCATACTTGATGTTGTTAAAATGAAATAATTAAATCTTCTTCAATGTTCATATCTATGTGACAACTTTAAACAAATATTCGAATGCATGCTGTAAATTGATCCATCTTTAAATGTCTTACTTTTCTGATCAGTTATATTTCATGTAGAGGAACTATGTAAATTGGATAGATTACTAATAGTGAATAGAGCAAGACAGAATATAGTTAAAATATCTTTATCTTGTGACAACGAAGTTTTATTTTATCTGCAAATATCATATGTAGATAACTTCATCTACATAATCCACATTCCGTGAACAACACCTTAAAATCAGACTAATGCTACTATGTAATGGGCGAATTTTATTGATCCATTTGAATACTCATACACTGCTTGTACCATGCTAGTTACCCACCAAGATACATTCATAGTCGATTTACAAACTTTTCCATAACCTACTTGCCGACATCAATCAATTTACCGACAAGAAGCAACGAAATTCAATTTGCCGATCTACGTCATAATTTATTAAATAAGCCAACAGCTGCCGAATATCCAATGGCCCCACGAATACAGACTACAATACATTGAAACGCACAAGTTCATATCAAAACACACTCACAACACCAGGCGAACAGCAACAATGGGCAGGATAGACAATAATTCATTACAAACACGAGAGAAGACTCGAACGCTCTAAACAGCATATTCACCAATTATGGAACAAAACATTCGAAAAGACACAGGCTATCAACACAGAACTTATCGTTGGCACTTATAACAGTAAAAATCCCACATAAGAACTAATACAAAGACGCCATCATCGATAAGGAAATTGCGATGTTAAACAAATAAAACAAATAACGACCACGACAACGCACCTAGTCGAAATTACAGCGCATGCAACGCAAATATAAACATTCAACATGACGTTTTATCTTTCTACTTCACCATTATAAACATTAAAAGTAAATAAAAATAAACGGAAACAACTAAACATCACACAAATATGTGAACTTCCCTAAAACGCTACATAAACGAAAATAACGTCAATTTGTTACACCTATATTAATGTAAAGCATACCTAATCTTCAACAGCTACGATGCGACTCGGGTTCCATGATACGCCTGAGCATAGCGATCTCAGGATTAGGTTTGTCAAATCTTCTAGGTATACGACAAAGGTTTTTGATTTTAAAAACTTTTCTGGACCACTTCTGATGTTCCAATTATTTTGACTTTGGCATTTTCTTCTGAATATTTTTGATTGTAGCAACTCTTCTGAATTTTCCTGAGTTTCTTCCGAATTCAGAACATTTCTACATCGCAAGTTCCTTGGTGTTGTAAAATATCATTGCAACTCAATACTTTAATGCTGCTTAACTTCAAATAAGAATAAATAGTGATTACTCTTGTTAAGAATTCTTTAAAGATACCACAACCGAAGCACATTTGTGAAAGCAAAATAGAAAATGTGATCATTGACATTGCATCAATGTTATTCCATTATCGTTTTGTTCCTACGATCTCTTAACATACATGATATATATATTATCTTCCTTCGCAAACCTTATGAATTTAGGCAAGTTCCAGCGGAAGAGTTCTACATTAAGTGTCTTTTGCCCTTTCATATTCACCATGTAATATATTGATTTCGCTGCCTTCCACTAAAGCAAATATTCCTTCACATAAATCCACAAATGCATACACACAAATCTCGCAGAATCATTCATCATCAGCATATAAGCACACAAGTCTACCTTTCGCAGAAGCGATTTACAAAAAATTTAGCACTTTCTTCGGAATAGTAATAGCTGTTTTCCGCTATTAAAAAGCACATACTCTGGAATAAATCGTTTGATCAGCCACTTCTCCTAAACTTAAACATTCGTCACAGAACGAAATGTTTGTGATCTCTAGGTTATTCTAGAACAGATACATAGTTAAAGCTATCTGATGAGTCTCTTAGCCGAGACGAAATCGCTATAATGGTTGCTAGACACAACCACACTCAACGTCATCTCAATTCATAAAGTACAAACAAAACTTTAGCAAACCATCAAGAAAAAGAGGGTCACATTCAAGCAAACGGAAAAGTGCTAATAAAACTATAGCTAATACTACAGCATATAGTATAACGCGAATATGACACTTGTGAAATCAAATCCATACCATTTTTCTATTTTGCCCATATTACCAAACTACTTAGGNATGATTCAACTTGATCATATACTTGCTGTTAATGGTTCAATGATTAGAAATGGATCATTGAATGATCATACTAACTATATTAGCATGAATAATTTTGAATGGGACGCTTCACGTGATTATTGGCGACCAAAATATGCACTTGGTGATAAGTATGTAAAATTGGATTATGTAAATTCGTTTATAAAAACGTTCTTTTATTTTGTTTTTGAAGAATAACATTACATAGGACGACAACAAGAGAAGAAACATCCCGAAGTGCTCCTCCACCTCGAACATTACCAGTAAAAGTAATAATATATTTATAGAATTTCTTTTTAACTTCGAAAAAACAATATATTTTTAAAAATATTTATTAGACATTAGGATCAGTTAGAAAAAAACGTCCAATGTCAAAATGATTTGAAATTGGCAAGATTCTTTCGAAAATTTATTATTTCTCTAAATCTAGTATTTATGTATTCTATATAGATCTTAATAAGCCAAGGTATATTTCATTGGATTTAAATATTTTCTTATTATATTATTTCCCTTGAAAATCTAGAGAAGCCTTTGTCGAACCACGCCGTGAACCAACACCCTCTCCACCGCAACCACCACCACTATCAGTGCCTAATATTGATCATGAAGAAAATAATTATTCACAACAAATTCCAACTACAGAAAATAAAGTGATCACAAGTGAAGAGGGTGAGTGTGGGTGTGCGTGTGAGTGTTAGTGAATTGTGACTACGGTTGAAATTTTCACAACACCCACACCCCACACATAAAAACACAGCGTATGGCATTAGAAAAGAGTATTCGGTGCAAGCACTGGGTAATTGCATAATGAAATCGTGTGCATTGGCTTGGCGTGCTACTTCTTCAATTTCGATTCTAGTTGCTTTCTCTTTACTAAACCGAATATTTTCATAAATACTTGTGGCAAACAGAATCTACATAGAACAATATCAAGTGCAATAATCAGAATAGAAAGCGACAGATATACAGATTCTTGACTGATTACACCAATCTTTTGTCGAAGTTGTTTGATATTGCAATCGGTTATCACTGAATCATTAATTGCGATGTGACCAGATAAAGGTTCATAAAAACGAAGTAGAAGTGATATACATGTACTCTTGCCTATTCTCTCAACAAACACTGAACTTTCAATCTTCGATTTTTTTTTATTGCAAAATACTCACTAGAGCCATTTGAACTAACCAAAGCTGTTATTTCACCAGCATGACCAGTCAATGTGAGATTTCGTAGAACTAAGAGATCGGATCGAGCTGGCTAGGCAAAGTTGATATTATCAAATTGAATGTCACCATTCATATTGATAGTGTCTTCACAAGCGATAGAATCTTGCAATACTTGTGTCTCATTCATACTTGTCTTCTCTTCCGAGATTATGTAATGGCGAAAAGATAAAATCATACATTAGGCACAATTGTACCTCGTCGATCAGTTGCAATACAGGCGCTAAAGCACCTCGAGCTTCTTCCACTAATCGAAAGAAAGGACTAATAAAGGCAATATTAGTGATAATCTGTGCCAAAGTAATCACTATCTACTCGAACATCAAGAACCCATCAGTTTTCGAAATCTAATTGGTGAACTGAATAACTTACAACAAGAAGATTAGTAAAACTGAGTCTGTCATATCCTTCGTGATGCATTAGAGATGAGTCGAAAGCAAAATCAATTGAATAAATGGTGTATCCTATTAGATAGATCCATCCAGCAAGAAGATCAAATGCAGCACCTTTGCGTACACTACTTCCACCAATCGCATGTAATTTGCTTTCGTATCTAAATAACTCAAAATATGATAACATGACCATAGCTCATGGCTTACAAAGTTTACTTATTAGTTGATATATTTCCTACCGTTTTTTTTTTCAAATTTTTCACCATTGAGCGACAGCACAGTACGAAGAGAACTGAACACTTCTTGGACGACTTCTCCAGCTTCTGAGTACATATTCCATTCGTTTCTTGATTCTTTGGTAGTGAGCTTTTATTAAAATTAATATGTTATGACCGACGTGTTCCCCTTCGATCATAAGACGGAACAAACGAATAATAAACGCTCCTTTCTAGTACAGTGGTAGTATAGCTGCCCGAAAAGCAGAAGATGTTGGTTCGATTCCATCGGAGGGAGATTATCCTTTTGTTCCGTTCTGTTGTCATACCATCACGTTGCTATCTCGCGGATAACTCAGTTTAATAATATGAGAGAAAAGAATACATAACAATATAAGTTGAATCAATCATCAACAATTACATGTACCTTTGGAAAAGCATATGATCCGAAAATAGTTAATGATACTGTGGAGAGTATGACAAGTGTTAACTTCCATATTAATGATGAAGGCCACACAAGCGCTACCCATAATGGAAAATAATGTTACGAGCAACACTGATAATTGCCAGCTAATGCCTTTATTCATAATGTCAATGTGGCCATGAGATGAAAGAGTTAGATATTGTTTCAATTGCAAGTATTTACCAAAAATTGCTTACTTGAACAGTTTGATACGGGACTGGCTCATCGAATTCATATTGCAATATGAAATATTCTAAAAATGAGAGAGAGAGAAAGAGAAATAAAGATTCAACGGTGCCACAATCAACTACAATGAAGTTGTAACGGATGAAGCTGAATAAATGACCTTCTTGTGATTTGTTTAATATTTCCATTTTTTATCATCGCTCAGATTTGAGCTTGCTTCTAAAATATGCGCTGTGTTATTCTCCAGAAAATAATGCATTTTAATATGATGAATATAGTTTTCGTTGTTTTTAAACAACACAGAATTGTTTGAAACCATCATGTACGTATAATTTTCAGCATTTTGTTTTGTTTTTTAAGTTTTCTTTTGTAGTATTTTAACTACTGTAGTACAATATTTAAGTTTATATTGTGACACTCTTAGATGTTGTCATTTTTTCTCTTAATCAAACCCGTCGTATGATACTAATTTTACTTAATTCATGGAAATTATGAATTGTGAAGGCATCACGAAATAACCTACGAAAATGTAAGCTTCAATGCTGCAGGAAAAAAGTCGAGCGAAGCAAAAATGTTATTTGAAACCATAATAGACATAGTGGAAACTGCGGATTATGCTTCTTATGGCTTGTGGAGAGAGGAAAGAGTTACTTTTCTTGCAATTTATTCCAACACTCATTACCTGTCATGTTTCACAATATATCATTTTGTAGAGAATCACACCATGGAGGTTTTGAAAGAACATTCAAATGTGAACAATGATAATCGATGAAGATATCGAGAAAACACTAACGAAATCCTTTGTTTTGCCTTATCCGTTGTATCGACGTAAAGATGAACGTGGCTGACATAGGCGTTTTAGGAGTGATTGTAAAAGACGAATACGTATTCGAGCAGCTTGTTGTGTATCGGTCATTGTGAAAAGAAAGTAACGGACAGCAACGCCTACGAGTTCGGTTGAACTAAAGACTACGTACATTCAACATGAAAATCATTCTTTGTTTAATGCCTGAAAAATGATGTTTTTTTTCTGCTGACTTAATACCCATCGCAATTGGATTTCAACGTCAGCATAAAATTTGGTTTTAGACAACGACCATAATGGTGCTAAGGTGGTACTATCATTTTGATAGAGTCTGAAATTCATGAGCAATGAATAAAGAAAAAAGTTGGAGCATATCAATATATTCTGTAATCTTTACTTACTTTTGAGATCGATCATAGTTGAAAGTATTTTGTACAGTATTCAATGGGCATTCTCTGCCGTTGCTAATAGTAACCGATGTATTTTGATATAGAGAACATCGAACAATAAATGATTGCAACGCAAAAATGCTCGTAAGTCGACTAAAAACAACTAAACATTCTATGTAGGCAAAACTAATTAGTACAACGGCACATAACCCGAAAAGTACCATGAGAAGATCGAACCAATCAGCAAAACGAAACTATCGCAAAGTTAAACAAACATTCTATAGTTCATTAGAATGTTTGTTTAACTTCACATTCAAAGTGATAAACACAATTATACATCAAGTTTTGAGTATTAATATTTAAAACAAGTCTATGAAAGTCCTTGAATATAATTCTTTCAGAATTATATATCTAAGTTAAGCAACCTGTATTCCTGATATTTTCATAAAAAAAACTTCTATAATTGTTTAAAATAGATTAGTTGTCGAGAAAAAAATTATTTACAATGAATTATACAATAATACCAGCAAGAATGTTGCAATAAGTTATAAATTTATGATAAATATGAGAGAAAATTCTTGAGGATTCATGTAAAATCTTTTGTTTTTGATGGTAACATTAATTATTTACTTCAATTTAGACGTTTATTTGTACTACTGACAGCACATGGTCCTTGATTATGAACAATTGGAAGAACCAACTTTTTTAAGTTCATAAAAAAAATTACTACTTCTTTTTCCTGAGAATCTATAGTATTTTTATTGAAATTTATTAAAGTTAATGCTTGTTTTCCATTTTTTTTTCTCTATCAACCAATGCTCTTGTTATTATTGACGAAAAAATTCAAAAATATGAAAATAGAATTCAAATTAATTAGTACGGTTTTTTAAAGTGAAAGATTATTAGATTTCAAAAATTGTGATGTACAGTTACAAATTATATCTATGGTAGATGTTTTCGATTATTCTCCTATCTGAGAAAATCGTACGTATCAATTTTTATGTTACATCACGACTTATAAATCATATGATTATTAACTGATTGTCAACTTCTTTTTTATCTTCAACATGCTATTGAATCATGTCGAGAATAATTTTTAAACTTTTTTAATTATCATAATTAAATTCTTCTTTTTTTCAATAAATAATCGGGCTTTTATTAGTTTATATAAAAAACTAACGTTTTAAGTATCGGCTGCCTAGTCAAGCGTGAAAATTTTAAAAATTTGTATAACTGCATTACAGAGCACACTATATTCGTGATTGCACGCAATGAAAATTTGCACATGGTACATGCATGTTATTATTGCATGTAAGAGCATGTATACGTTTTATTTTTTACTAACATTCGCATGCGAGAAAATTCTAGAATAACCAAAATATATATACTTTGTTTTATGCAACAAACTTTTTATTATTTGACTATTCACATACATTAGAAGTGCAGAAAATACTCTAGAATATTATGATACTCTCACAACTATGAGATACGTGTGTACATGAATACTAATAATTGTGAACAATTTTAAAAAGTGAAGAAGATTTTTGAGTCAATCTAGTTCAGTTACATAATAGAGTGATTTTATTGTAACGAAAAATAAATAAATATACGATGAAGAAAACATTTATCTCTTGCATGAATCAGCATATACACCGCAAACTAGCTGAAATTTGCATGTTAATGTTGATATGCAGTATTTAGTAATATTCTAATAATGCTGAAGGTACACACAAATAGCACTTTTGTTCTTGTATACACACGCAGAAATATTGCACGGGAGTGTTTGCAAGGATAAGAATCATACATGATCTAGTATGTTCGTTCATGAGATACAGCGACTGGAAAAAATATCTTGCAAGTTAAGGCGATTTTCTGAAAATGTCTCGCAAAAATATGCGTTTTTTAAAGGTTTGTGTTTGACTGTGTACTGTTAAATTTTGATTAAAATATATCAAATTATTAACTATAAATCAATTGAATGAGATTGTTAGAATATACTTAGGTCACACTACAAGTAGTAGCTGAGATAATTTAATTCATTAGAAAAAATTTAAAGAAACCTTTTTCTCCATTTAGACTGCTAATAAAAACAGCACTTTATTTTTCTGTACTATTACATAATATTTCCAATAATGTTATTATACTAAAATTTTGATAAAACTTGTATTTCGACTATATGTGACAGTTATAATAAAGTCTATTTAAATAGTGAGTGGACATATTTTGAATAACTTTTGATAGAAGTAAGATAGACAAATGTGGTTTTGATCTTTCGAAAGAGGGAACAAAGATGCCTCGAATCGTATAATCTTTTTTTTTTTGCAAAGAAATCGGTAAAAGAATTGCTTAGAACTTCTACTAGAGTACTTTAACTTCTGAATGGTTAATTCTAAATATCTGAAACTTGTGCAGTTTTGTATATTTTCTATTGGTGGTGAGTATACCCACGTGACATTTGAAAATTGTCTGTAAATGCCTCATGGGGTAGGTGTGCATTCGAAGACATCAATTGAAAACATTAAAAAAAAAACGTACTAAATATGACTTGATACATTTTCATCTCCTCTTTCGAACGATGAAAATCTTAAATTCTCTATCTTATTGCCATCAAAAATTATTCAAAAAATAGGCATTAGTATAACCGTCACATATGATAGAATAACAAATCTTATCGAAGTCTTATTATTATGATATTACTTGAAGAATAATGTTATAGCAGAGAAAAATAGAACATCATTTTTACAATCAGTCGATATAGAGAAAGAATTCTTTTAAGCTTTTTATAACGAAATAAAGTACTTTCGCCACTACTTTTGGTATGACCTAAGTAGTTAACAATTACAATTAGTGAATAATTGTCAATAGTCGAACAAGTATTATTTAATTGTAATCAAAATTTAATCAAAATTTATAACATAATTGTTTGTTTTTTTTGTTTAAAACCATTCAGACAACATCGTATGTTGATTTCCTCTCAATTTACTTAATTTCAGCACGTTCAATTCAATGAGAAATTATGTCATTTAGAGATTTATCGATTTGAACAAATCAACATACAACTGTGATATTTCCCATATCGGCTGTTACATGTATATATCAAGTTTGAAATCGGCTTGTATTCTTCGCATTTAACTAATAACAAAAGGCGATCGTTTCACAAAAAAAAACAAAAAATCTTCAATTTGAAATATATACCGAATAATCATAATGTCACGTACACATTTTACTTCCAAATCATTTAATTATGAATTCAGTTTACATCATACTTGAAAATATGCAAAATAGAAAATATTGTCATTGCTCCTCCTCTTCAATAGACACAAATATGACAAGTCGATAGAAAATAAGAGAAAGAACAAGAAAAATAAAATTATTCGATCTAATGGATGAACATTTATTTTCTTTCATGTTCAATCACTTAGGTGTGCATCAACACCTCAGTGTTATACATGTGCCTTATTTTATTTCGAAGTAATTTAATATACACCTTCTCACTTTGATGATGTGTTGCTCATTTTTGTCAAATGATTTTCAACAGATATTATTAAAGCTGGGGATCTAAATGAGTTTTTTTTTTTTTTTTTTATTTTTCTCAAAATAATATGATACACCAGCAGTAAAAAGCAAAAAGAAAAAAGAAAAACTTAATATACATAAATAAATGAAAAATCAATTTACCAATCATCGTTAAGAGAATAGAGAACAAACTATATTTAATCATTTGATTGTGTGCGATATAGAGCAAGTGTAATCCAATTACGACTAGCGAAGAGAAAGAAAGAAAGTGTGTGTACGTGCTCACTCAGCCGAATTCAAATATATATATATATATTGTTCTTACATACAGTCATCAATATCATTTTCATCGCATTCATATGGAATGTAAGTATATGAAAGTAGATTTCCTATATTGTTCTAAGTAGAGAGTTATGCTTGATTAATAAAATAGTATTCATATGAAATTCTACAAGAGATACTTCGAAGTTAGTTCATATATTTAGATTGTATTTTGATATTTTATTTTCGGTTATTATGAAGTATAGCTATTTTTTATGATGTTCAATTGATATTTTGGTTGTATACGTGCAACAATAAAGTTTGATAGTGAGCAATCATTTCAACCTCGGTCCGTTAATATGTACTAGAATAATATTTCAGATATCTTTCTTTTGTAATCGCCTTATCATAATCACATTAGCACAAATATTTTCGTCTAATCCTATCATTCGAAACCAACTATCGTAGCTATTTCTAGGTCCGAATTTCGTTAAAAATCACTTTAAAATAACGAAGAAATTGCCTGTTCAATAGTAAATACTGTGTTGTGTAGGAAGATGAATAGTTTTCACGGCAAATTCGATTAATTCATTTGAAAATTTTCATAAGACGACAAAACTTGATCACTATGACATAGGTTTACTGTGTCATAGATTTCTAATTACTAAGATTTTAACTATATATCATGGACTTTGATGATAATCAAGTAGGTCATATCGGATATCACATTATGTTCTCAATATCATAAAGGATAGTATCACATCATGGAGAGACACAACTACTTCTGTCGAGAGTTGTAATATAAAAAAAGAAGAGAAATTAAGACACATAGTCTATTATATAGTTAATATAACTCGCTTTTATTTTCATTGATAATCGTGTACTGAAAACCATAAATCTGATAATTAACTAAAAGCACTCTCGAAAAAGTATTTATAAGTTTTCTCAAATCGGAAATTCTACTTAAAAATTTCCAATATTAAATCGAAGAGTTATTCAATAGACAGAGATGATCGAATCAATCAAGAAAACATTTTATTTTTTTCCTAGAAGAGCGGAAAACTTTTCATGCGTCCTCATAGCAAAAAAACAATTGTTACATTCTTCCAATGTTAGTTGTTTTGGAAACAATCCTGTCCATAGAATTTATTCTTTATCATCCAAAAAAAAGGAAAAAGAAAAGTTTTTTGATTATGATCATAATAGAAATTCAAATACTCTTGTCGTTGATCGTTAATATCATATTTGACCATCACACTCTCATCTTATCACCTCTTAATTCGATAAACATTTTAACAATTTTTTTTCGTATAACTAAAACGATGGAATCTATCTATCTATCTTAAAGTGTTACATTTGTCACTATGCATTTTATTTTGTGGTATATAAATGAAAACAAATAAATCATATTTATTTTAGCTCATTCATCAATTGCTATGTTTATTAGTGAAATACCAGTTCGTTGTTATGGACAAAAATCTATTAAATGGATACGAAATTTAAATAATCAAACAACAGTTGAAGATATAATTTTATCTGTATTACCATCATGTAATCCAAAGAATTATTCACTTTATATTCGTACAGGTCATCATCGACAAATTTTAAATAATTCATCACGTATTTATAAAATAGTTGCATTATTTAATCAGCAACGTTGTGCTCGACGTTTATTTTTTGAAATACGTTCAATAGAATCTTATCAATTAGATAAAAAGAAACATGTTAGATTTGCTGATGAAATAATTGTACAAAATATTCAAGGTCGTTGTATATCAAATGAAAAAACTACATCAAATATGATTGAAACAATATCACTACCAATTGAAAAACGTCTTGAAAAATTAAAAGAAAATTTTCAAAAATATGTTCAACATAAACAAGAAAATTATACGAAATTATCATCGATTTCAAAACGGTACGAACATGAATTTTTTTTTTTATCTATTAAATAAACGAATAAACTTTTTTCTTTTTTATTCTTTAGATCAACTTTAAGTATTATCAATGAAAATATCCCTAAACATGTTTCCGTACAAACAGCTACAATTCGACAAATTTCACATTCATCAAGTGAATCGGGTATCAGTTCAAGTTCATCTAATGATGATTTTGTCGTACCAACAACAACGTTAGAAACACTTGTTTAAAACTTTTTTTGCTTTTGTTTTTTCATTTTATATGCATTCATTAAAATAAATAATAAACATCATAATATAAATTTTGAATTTTCTTGAAAAAAAAAAAAAAAATGAATGCCAAAGATCACAACCTTCTGCTAAAAAACCTATTATTCAGATCTTCTACATCACTATTAACATGAAAAATTTACAAGAATAAATTTGCGAAAATGCCAGTGATCGATGTTCATTATATTTGTGTTCAGTGATATTGAAACTAAGAGGACCAAAGTATATCGTAATACTACATGACAACAAAAATTAACATAAATGTTTCGTCTTTCAACAATATGGATTATATCAATAGAGTCCTTGTATGTTATATTATTCACACTCTTGTACACACATGCACATACACTAGTGGCCAATATCATAAGAACAACACATTTCTTTTTCTCTCCTATAATATCAAGCACTCAAGGGTGTACCGAGAGGCAGGTCGGAAGGTCACTTATCTTTCAATCTTGAGAAAGAATCTGATCGAAAATCGTTAGTTTTTTCACGACTCTGGAAGCATTATAAAATGAAAGTACATCAGTCGTATACAACTACCACGATATTGATTCATTAAAAGATCTCATCCTTTTTGTAATAAAAAAAAATTTAGAAATATTAAAACTGCTTGGAAATCTCCTTCAAAATAACAGACAATGAAGTTTAGATAACGAATGACATTTTAATAATATTTTTTTTTTCAATTAAAATCAATTGTATTCAAGATAAATTGACTATATTATAGTCTTATCTTAATTCAAACAAATGAAGTTATTGCTTCTATCTTACTTACCAAAACATGCACGATATTCTGTAAAAATTCAGATTTGTTTAATCGTTCTTAATATGAGTTACTATTGCTTTTTGTTGTTCATATAGTTCCATCAAGTGAACCAAAGTCTACTAATGTCAATGTAATTCGTTCAAGCTTGCAGTGACAGTGATGGTATTCGATTCATGTTGTTTTTACTTTTACTTCATAGGATCTCTTCATGTGCGTTTAGTCAACAGGAAAAAACCTAATTTTCATCCGAGGGCCTTATGGTATGTTAACTTGACCATTACATAAAAGAATAAATAAACAAATTTGAACTTTTAAAGAATATCATACATATTTCGATTAGTACAATCTATTTGTGAATGTAATTGATTTTTATCGAAAATATTTTTGAAATATTCCATGTTATCTAAACTTCTTTCCTAAAAAACTCAACTCTGCTAGTTTTCGGTCCCAGAAGATTAATTTTTTTAGACGGTACTTTGAAAAACTAATTCCTACAAAATTTTCTGGGACCTAAAAATCACCGTTTTCGAGTTTTTAGAAAACTTGCTCCCATATTTCATCAATGGAATTTTGTACAAAATGCATTGGGATAGAAAATTTAATTGTCTATTCAAATCACTATGTGAATTCGAGTACAATTATTTGTATTGTAGAAGAACATAAAAAATATATTGTTCTTATACACTTAACCACTGCAGTAGACAAGTAATGAAATAACAAATCAAACTTTGTGTGTTCGTTGAACCTTTGAACAAACCAATTATAATTCTTTTTTTTTTTTTGATCGGCATTGATGAACTCCTGTTAAGACTTACCATTAAATTTTCTATATACATATGTATATGTTTAGACTTGTGAAACTTCTTTTAAGTGTTGTTTTTCTTTCTATCAGACGATTATAATGATCAACACGTTCCAGCTGTTAGAAATAGAGAATTAAATAACAAGGAGCTCATATTATCGTTTATTTTTCTCCCACTTATGACGCAAAAAAAAGAGCAGTCTCTCTCTTGCTTGCTTATATATTCATAATCAACGATCGTAGACGGTAGTAATCGTTCTATTGCTCTCAAAGAATAACAAAACAAATTACCATGGAACTCAATTCAATGGAAAATCTTATTCATTTACCAATTAATGAAAATGTTATAAAGTAAGAAAAAATATGTAAAATAAAAAATTCATTCTATTATTCGCTCCTTTTTTTTTTAACAATTTTAGACGATATGGAAAATATACAAAAAAAATAAATGGAGAACTTGTTAAAGGTATGTATAGTATAGTTTAAAATGATTTTAGAATTCATAATTATTCTTATTACATTATCAATTAAGTTATTTATGATTGGTTTGAACGAGAAAATGGTAGTCAATATAAATTAGATCTAACAAAACAACAATATGATCAAATGAAATCAATTGTTTCTCCTATAGGTTAGTTCATTTATTTATATTGATAATATAGAAGAAATTTTTAGTTTTCTAAATAATTAGATGTTTATGGTAAACCATTACCATTCGATCAATTTTGCGATATTCTTATTCCTGTTATAACTGGTAATGAAAATGAACATCATGATGATTATTCTATATGGTTAGCATTTCGTTCGTTTGACAAAAACAATGATCAATATATTCAAGCTGATGAACTTGAATCATTAATACATATTATTGGTAAAACTGTTAGTCGAGAACAAATACGAGATTTTATTAATAAAGTTGATTGGGATCATAATGGTCAATTAGATTATAATGAATTTTATCAATTTATTATACGTGGTTATGCACGAGAATTACTTATGATGAATATAACAAAAGAAATTATTTATACAAATGATAATATGGATATACCAACAATGACTAATTAATATTATTGTATTTAATTCTTCTAGAGAGTAAAATCTTACATGTCAGTTAGTTACACTATTCGATTCAAACAAAATGTATTTAGATTTAATGAATAAAGTGATTGAGACGATAATAATTTTTTTGTTTTCACTATTATATAATAGAGCTTTAGGATATATATTGTATTGATACTAGAGAGAAAAGCTGTCAATGTAATCCTCGTGAAATTAAAATATGAAACACAATGTAGCTGTTGTTAGCAATTACAGGAAGATTGTTCTGTGCTATCTATCTTGGGACACATTACTTCACCATACTTTTAATAACTTCTCCCGAAGTACAATAAGGAACTAATTTATATATTAGAACAAGAGATCATTCATATATGAACTGCAATCTTATATCAACAATGTCTGTCCTGACGGGAAAAGGGAAGAGTAAAGTCTATCGGATGCAGTCGAATCCTGATTTAAAATATTTCTGTTTACCATATCTGGTCCGAAAATTTTGAACCCGACAGGATCTAAGGATAAGCTGTTGTTAAGATGTCTGTCGGGACGGGCGAGAGAGGGGGGGGTCAAATTTCTACCATTATATTTCAACGCTCCTTTTAGAATATGTTTCATACGATTATTCAGTATCTTTTCAAAGCAGTCTTGAATAAAATTGTTAAGAATGCTTTTTTTTTGACGAGGGTGTTACCCGAACTGATACCTACCGTTTCAGCTCATACTGGACTCACAAGGACACCCTAATGACACTAGTAAAAACCTTGAAGGATTCATCTCCATGGGCCTGATGTTCTTACATGCTCAATATAACTTCCAACGGCAGATATCAGTTCGAGTGGTTTTTTGGTAAATAAAATCTTGCACCTGTTTTAATCCCATGCCGCTCATGATACAGTCTCTCATTTAATACAAGGTAATTTTTTATTTTTTGATTCAACACTAATTTATACTACAATCTAGAATATCAACTTGTCGTCATTTACGTATTTATTACCGGATAATTTTATTTAACTTTATGATAAATATTATCTATGTATGATGGATCTTATTATTCTTTTTTTCATCATTAAAATCTAATCTCATATTTCTTAATCAAGACATATCAGTACTTTCTTTCATACACATCAAGCAATCTATTTAAAATAAACATCTCATTATTATAATAAATTCTATACATCTGAGAAGCAAAAACGAAAAATACAATTAAAGATTTGTACTAGTTTTTGAGTAATCAAATATTGATCCTTCGCCACCATCTTGTCTACTATATAATCCTCTATTTCCTGTTGCTGTTAATGAAACAGTTGCACCAATATTTTCTGTTGTATTTTCGAGTAATGTTGCTTTATCAGCACGTTGAAAATTTTTCCATAAATTTGTTAAAATAGCTGATGTTACATCATCACCAACATTTGCATATATAAGTCGAAAAATAAAAAATCCATCATGTTGTAAATAATCATAAACAAATGCTTGCATACCAGTACGTACTGTTGTTTTACTGTGTTGAACTTGAATACGTTGAATAAAAAATGAATAACGAAGACGTGGTAATAATAAAAATATTAACCAAGAAAAAAAATCATATATTGTTATAATAAGAACAAAATTCATCCAGATATATAAAAGTGTAAAGATTTGTTCATTGTATATGTTTATAGTTAAAACACCTAATAGAATCAAAACATATTTATTTCAATATCAAATTAAAGAATTGATAATTACAATATATAACTTAAGACTTTGAGGATTCAATATCTAAGGGATATGGATTCGCTTACGACTCTTGTCCAACTTTGTCCGATCGGATTGAAATTTCGACCACAAATACTGAGAAGTATTCTCCAGATACAAAAATCGGTCGTTTTAATTTTTGACCTTCCTATTCAGATATAGAGAGTTCTTTGCATCAGCATTCCAGTTTTAGATCCAAACCTTTACATACTTATTTTATAAAAAAAAGTTATATTTTTGAAAAAGCTTTAAATAATCTCTGAAATATAGTCGAAAGTATCTCAAGAATATTTTCATCCCTATTAGACGAGATAATATGGTGATCTTATGGAAAACCAGAGTTTTCCCACAAAAAAAAACTGTGAAAATCTTTTATAAAGTATTTTTTTCGAACATATATTTCTTTGTTTTAGATTCTGTATCTGTAGTAAAAGCACCATGCGGATCGGTAATACCCTTAATGACACTATTCAGTTTTAATGGCGATTTTAGTCAAGTGGCATAAAACTAAATAAACCTTATCAAATCAAGGAATATGCCAATAAGCACAAGCTTTGAATTTATCATACATATGAGTGATTTGCAACTTTTCGGTACTAT